TTTATNTTTTTTTATAGTATTTTTGTAATTCAAAGTACTTTTTTTACTAATAAAAGTTATTTATCTTTAAAGAATAAGAATTAAACTTAGTAAAATAAAAAATTTTTAAAATTTATTGTAATGATTATAAAATATTTTGTTTATTTAATATTTAAAAAAATTTAGGTCTCTGAAAATCTAAGGTAAAATTTAATATAATTTTAAAAGGTTACTATATATATATGGTAAAATTATGAGATAAGAAAGGTTGGTAAAATTACTAGTAAATCTGAAATTTTGCCCGGAGACCTTTATTAGAAGTAAGCGGGGTCCTATTTTAATAAAGACTTTTTTAAAATTAAATAGTAGAGATATCTAATTTAATCTTAAAATCTTATTTGTATTCTCTTATTTTGCATAAATATTAATAATGTAAAAGTATATGTATCATAAATTATTGATTATAAAAGATTAAAGCTTTTGGATACTTAATTATATTATTAAACTTTTTAATTTTTTGTATCCTTTTTAAAATAATCATCTATTAAATAAACTTATATAAGGTTTTTTTTCACTTAAATTTTTAACCATTTTCTATGATTTAAGAATTCTGATTAGTTTTATTATTATTATTATTAAATACAATTATTTTATTTTTTCTTTAAAAAAGAAAGTTTGAAAACTAAAATATTATAATAAAATTTTTTAAAGAATCTATTCCTAATTTAAGATTTATTTGAATTCATCCAATAAAATTTTTGTAATATTCTCATTAATCATTATTAATCTTTATTTGAAATATAAAATAATTATATCATCTGAATCAGTATCTTAAGATTACCATCTGAATTTATTAATGGATCCATCTGTCTAAAAATATCAGATACAGATATTTGACTTCAATCCAGATTGAAGAATCAATTCAAATTTAACAGATTTAGAATTAGAACATTATATTGTAAACTCTTATTTATTTATTTATTTTTATTTTATAATTTAATGGTTTATATATGCTTACATTAAAATTAGCTTTATAAAAATGAAAACTATTTTCTAAATTAGCTATACTCACCCGTATGGATATAACTATCAAATTTCTCAAATATCCATATTATATTATCATTGTATTAACATTAAAAGCAAATAAAAACAAAAGCCAAACCCTTTCATAATCACTATAAAATCCTCATACAGAGAAGGCACAAAATGGAGTGAAAGCTCATAGCGGTAGGAGATACCCTTCCCAACCCAGTAAGAAAAATTGTATACTGAAAATATACTGAATTTTAATAATATATAAAGTTTAATAAATGTATTATTTAATTGCCAATCCGTCTAAAATCGGCACTGCGTTACTAATAAAATTCGGGGATATTAACGATAATAAAAAACCCCGTTTTTTACATCTCACGCACGGGATAAACTTTCACCCATTTCACCCATTTCACAAATAAAAGTACCCTTCGATTTTTTACTAGTTCTATAAAGAAAAATATTTTAAAAAAGTCTTTAAAAAAGCTTAGAAAGCCAAAAAATATATGTTTGTAATGTAAATAACATAATATAGTAAAATAAAATATTGAAATTTCTTACATTTTAAGGTGTAAATCTGACGCGCGTACATAGTAAACTCATTATTTTGCATATGAACGTATAATTTTTTTTTGCAAATTCTTTTTTTTCAAGTATTTTTTCAGTATATCATATGACTTTATTTATAGTTAATATATCGTCTATGAAAATATCCTTTTCTGAAGATTGTGTTCTAGCACAAAATCGGCAAATTTAACCCCGAATTTTATTAGTAACGCAGTGCCGTTCTTAGACGAATCGGCAATTAAGTATAATTTGGGTATATTTTTTATAAGTTAATTATATACATAATTAATACTGAAAATATGTTTAAATATATTGTTTTTGATATGGAAATAACCTACAAAACATCCTTAAATTTTGTCCGTTTAAGTATATTTTAAGTGTAAATATTTTATATTTATTTTATTATTAATTTCTACTTTAGTTTAAGTATAATAAACGGATATATTATATATTAAAAAGTATATTTGAATATATTAAAATGCAATTTCAGTATACTTTACATACATTTTAATAATATATTAATTATAATTCAAATCGAAACAATGTATATTTTTAGTTGAATTAAAGATTATTTAATTTATAATAAACTAATATTTATTGTATATTTTGATAATAAAAAGATTATGCAATGAGTATTTAATATACATGTTATAGATATGGTTTAATTATATTTTAATTATTTTCAGTGCGTTAAAAAAGGTTATTTTAATTATAATAAATTGTACATTTTGATAATAAAAAGATTATTTAATATACATGTTATAGATATGGTTTAATTATATTTTAATTATTTTCAGTGTGTTAAAAAAGGTTATTTTAATTATAATAAATTAATTTTTTGTGTACATTTTAATAACATCAAGAATTCATTTTTAAGATAATATGGTTTGAATAAATGCATAAATAATATTGAACATAATTATGAAAAGAAAGACAGTTACAAAAGACTTATTCTGTACTTTATTATAATAATAACTTGAGATCTACTTACCCAAAAGAATATCATATGAAAAAATACATATGGTATATTATTCTAATATATATATTCAAAAGTAAAAAATATAAAAAGATAGTTATGGAATAGCAATAATTTATAAAGACTGATACATATCTACTAAATTATCTTTTGCTTAATTTTTGTAATATTGCGTTGCGAAATATAAAAAAAAATACGTTACTATAACTGATGCAATTATAACATGAGATTTGGCGAATATCTTCTACATACTCCCTTAAGTAACATCATAGTCTAGTAAGCCTCAACCACACCCTGTTGTAAAGAAGATACGTAACTGACTCTTTAGACTTCACAATAGGATATTGTGTGATAAAGAATCTGAAAATATAAATATATTCTATTTTCATACCTATTTAACAGCTTTAAAAACCTTTTATTGATAAATATAAACACAATATTAATGTAACTTTTTAACAAAAAATAAACACATAAGCAAAGTATTAAAGTACTTTTTAATAAAAGTTTAATAAAAGAAAGAAAAATAAATACTAAAGATAAAAAAGTCAAACGGTAATAAATAAATAAAAGATCTTAATAAATAATGCAATATTTACTATTTTTAACTACACTAATTATAATAGATAATCCGCGTTTAACTATTTTTAGAGAGAATTAATAAATTTACCAAATAATAGGTTATCTGATTTATTCAATTCTACCAGCATTATAACCATTATTTTATTAGGAATGATAAAGTAAAATTTACTTTTTATTATTTAAACATGTTTAAATTGCAAATAACGGGTTATCTGACTAATATAGACTGTATTTAATATCTATATTTTTCATTTTCTACCTCTTTCACGTCTTCCTTTTTTTTTTGGCTATTTTGTGGTGCTTCTAAAGAAGATTCTTATTGCAGAGGAAGTACTGGAGATTCTTCTTGTGTTCTTCGTGTTTCTTCTTGTCATGCTACTTCTTCTTGCACTTTTTGTGCCGCTTTTTCTTGCACTTCTTTTGCTGCCTCTTCTTGCACTGGAAGAGATCGATTTTTTTTTTGTTTAAATAGTATCCTAAAAATAAAATAACAAATGATTAATAACAAAAATAAAACAAATAATTTACAAAATTATTATAACTCACGTTTTTTTTAAATGGTACTGATTAACATTTCTTTAACAGCTCAGTCACCTGCAGTTACAGGAAAATCGGGAGCTTTCTTCTTAAACTACAATGAAAAGTTAGTTGGCTATCAATAAACTTTTTGAAAAAAAATAATAATAATAAAAGACAATATTTACAGCACGAACAACTTGGGATGTTACCAAGGTCTTTTGGATTCTATAACTTAAAGCAAAATCCACATTTTTCTCATAAAGACGCTCCTTCATCATGTCCTATTATAAAAATAATGAGTAAAATAATAAAATATAAATTTAACTTTTTATTAAAAAGCTAAAATAATTAATTACTAAATAGCTGAGCCAGCGCTGCTTTTGATCTCTTAAGCCAATAGCATCCTGTAATTTATATTTATGCATGGGCCTATAGATTTGCTTATTAAAAGTCATATGGTTAGATTGCTTATTTTTGGGCAATTTGTGAAGTCACATGTTGAGTTTGCTTATTTATTTTAATAAAAACCTTGCGTAGAGCTATTATAAAAATTTTGACCTTTCTTGTTACCTATATATATATTGCTCAGGATCCTGGTAGTATTTACATGTAGCTAGCTTTTAGTTAAAAAGAAAAATACAGGTTCTAGTTAAAACTGCATTGGGCAAATTTTTAGGTGGATCTTGACAGTTACCTAAAAATTTTATTTGTATCATTGTTTGTAATGATGATATGATTGTTTAGGTAACAGATCGATTTTTTTTTAAAGAAAGTAGTCATGTTTCATAATGCTTAATTCTTATATGTATTTTATTCTTCTTATTTTTATAAGTTTAGTATATGTAAGTAAGCATAGTAGTTATAATATGACAAGACCACATTTATAATAAATTAATAAAAAAAAAGTTATTCATTAGTGTATTATTATTAAAGAATTGAATAACTATTCATTTTGACAACTAAAAGTAAAGTATCTATCAAAGTGATATCTGCATTGTTAAAAATAACTATATTTTTATCAATAGTAATAAAACAATAACAATTGTAATATAATATAATATTAATTATTTATCTTTTAATTAGTTATAATTTTTGCTTTTTACACTTGAAACTTTCTTGTTTTGTAAGTTATTACTTTTTACTTTTTGCTTTTTTATTAATATTATATATATAATTTAAGAAATAATTTTATATAATGAATTTTCTGAATTTACAATTTAATGTAAAAAATTAAAGGGAATTTGCTAGAGTTTATAAGTGGTAACCATTATTACATAATTTAATTCCGGCCAAAATTATAATTTGGTCAGTTAAAAAAATACTGGACATTTATAAATATAAATATGTAAAACTTGTATTTACCAAACTTTGCATTTAAGGAAACTTATTCTACTCATAAATTACTATTAATTTACAATTAGATCAATATTTCAGCAAAAAAAATAATTTTGTGTAGCCACCTGTGAAACAAAAATTTGCTGTTAAAGTATAAATTTTATTGAATCTGTTTATTATACGACTTTACATAAATTATAAACAAGTTATTTATTTTTTCATTTTATATTATTTAACAACAAAAAAATGCTTAATGAAATATACAGAAAAATAAAGTGTAATATTTTTAAATTCCTTTTATATGATCAGTATTTGCACTGACGTCTATGATCCATTTTCCATCAGGATTTACAGCATTTAAAGAATTAATAGCTTCTTCATTTTTCCTTTCAATTTCAGTTTTTTCACTGTCATCAGTATCGTTAACATCACTGACTGTGATATCGGGGATCCCACCACCTTCAACACCTTCAGAATCTTCTTTTGGTATCCATTTAGCTCTAGATACTGCACAAAATCCAGCTTCCTTCCAACCAGCAGATTTAGAACAAGCTTCTTGAATAACATTAAAGCACCATCCATGAGTAACCATAATTAATACTACATCAGTATCTAACTTTTCACTATCTTCAGATGATCTACTTTGTTTAATTTGTTGAATGAATGGAGATGATATTCCTGCCAAAGCACTTTGACATCTTTTAAGTACTTCATGTATTCCTTCAGGATATTTAGGAAGTTCATTAAGTACTGGTGTATAAGAAAAATCAACTTCAAAAGGATAATTACTATTATCTTCTTTGCCACTCTTCTCATGTATCTCTTCAAACCTTTTGCTAATGATACTATTTGGTACAGCTTGAGGAAAATAAGCTGAAGTATGCCATTCTGCTAATGACGAATCAATTCTAAATTTTATTTTTGAATTTGGTTCTGACGCAGATATTCCTTCTGCAATACCGATACCCGTTTCTGTTGTACGTGCAAATGGACTTGTTATAATAAAAAATTTTGCATTCCTTTTTGTATCATTAGAAATAGATTCTTGTTGAAGTGTATAAATATAAGAACCAGTTTGTTTGGCTTGTCGTTTTCCTCTTGGAGTCAATGGTGGATCAAAAGGCGTAGGTGAAGTGTAAACAAAACTTGGCTCTACATGATCCATACGTTCTCCGTGTCTTACTATATATAAAGTAAGTGACATCTTTAATTTAATTTAAAAGAAATAATTGAAATAATTGAAAAGAGGGAAAGAAGTAAGGAAAAAGGTTCAATTCTCAATGTCTTTATAATTTTTTGATCGGAGTTTATGGATCATTAGAGGTTCCGGCATTATCGAAATACAGTAACTGTATTTGGAATAAGTTATAAAGAATCATCCGAATAGAACGTTAATTCAATTTTCTGTAATACAAACAATAGTTTATGAATGAGAAAAGGAATTTATAGAAATTCTCTCAGTAAAGTATTTACGGAATATTATTGCAATGATCGCCACGTGTCGTATGGCGTTTTTGCTTCTAGAAACAGTTTTTTGGGTTTATTTACAATTAATATAGGTTTAGTTTATTTACTAATTTATTAAAGTGGTTTATATATTTAAATATAATGAAGCGAATGACGATTAAAAAATCATTCAAACAGTTTATTAATCACATTCAAAAAAAAAAAAGAAAAAAAAAAAATAATAATAATTAACAAAGTAAAAAGCAAAATGAATAGACTTCATGATGCCAAATTAAAAAATAACTTAACATGAAATAATCTTAATTCGCATATTTCTTCTTGTATCATGAAAACTATTGTACAATACTTTACCTAAATGAATCCTATATTATTTGGTTTGATTATGTTTTTTGCAATTTTTTGCTCATTCTGAAAATTTAATTTAAAACATAATGAAATTGTTAGCTAAATTCAATTAATTCACTCTTTATCCCTGCGTTGCCTAGAAGCTAGATGTCTCCGCCTAAAGACAGCGATAAAGTCATTGGTGATGCGTCGTAGCTTATTCCAATCTTGTTCTTGTATCGCTCTATATTAAAAAATTAATGTGAAATCTTATAAATTAGAAATATTCGAACAAAATATAAACTTACAAATTGTAATCTTTTATAAAGCTGTTTTTTGCTTCTGATGTTAAATTAGAATCTTGTAGTTGCTGAATAATTTCGGATATCCATTGTTTACATTCCAATGGGTATAATTTAGACAAAGCCGACAATATTTCATGAATCTCGGCGTGTTGAATATCTCTTGGAAAAGTGTACATAAGACCTTTGAATATGTTTTCAAGGAATGAAGTACCGTATTGCTTCCATAAAGTATCATGAATCGCTGAGGCTGCACTCAGAGAAGCTTCCGTAGGTGATGTGGGAGTAATAGTAACGTTAGTTTGTACACCGGAAGGTGGTCGTTGCTGTTTTTGATTTTCTCTAAAATTAAGCAACCTATTAAAAAACAAAATAATAGCAAATAGCGCATCAGGTTGTTGTATTGATAGGCATGAAATTCCAGCTTGAAATACTGATGGGAATATGGCCGATTGTGAATAAGTAATAGGTGCGTCAAATAGCGCAAGATTAAGACGGAAATAATCTTCAATTACTATAAAAAAAAATTTTTTTTTGTTAAAATAGACGACTATAAATTACTTTGATATATAAATACATTAAAATACCATCAGGGATGTCAGCAGGTTTTTTTCCATTCAAAAGATTAAACATTGATACACTTAATCTTTCAACAAAAGATAACATTGCCATTGTCATTTCTGTTCCTTCACCATCGCAATGTTCCTGAACACACTTGGTTGCAACCCACAAATAGCAACTCAAAAATGTTTGACCAAATACTGTAACTAAACGTTCCATTAGGTCAGGAAGCAACGGTCTAAAAGGAATTCGATAAAACACAACACAGTATTTAAAGCATTTACAAAGACTCTCTGATAAATGAGAATCAGATCCAAAATGAACCAAAAGTAGATCAAATACAGGCCATAATTCTTGTATAATAGTAATACAAGGATGAACTAGACCAGTATTCACATCTGCCGTACTGGTTTCTTTTTTGGGGTCAGCAACTACCCTAATAATTATTGAAAATTGTTCGAGTTTATCTTTGAAGGAGAAGGAGATTATATTAATATTTTCTTTAAAAAATTAAAAGTATTCAACAATAAATCATATGGTAATCTTGCTTACCACAAGCAAACCTAATCTCCTTATCGGTCGCAGAAGCACCCTTATTAGCAAACTCATGTAGCCATTGTGCGATTGGAAGACAAAACATTTGTAATGCTTTTAGTAGTTCTGCTGGACGAACAGCTGCAACAACATGCGAAACTGCCTCTGTCACTTCAAATAAATCTATCCCACGAAGTGTATTCGTAACGTTAAGATAGAAAGGGTGAAGTTGTGGAAGATATTCAATCAGCAGCTATAAAATCAAAAGAGTTAATAAAGATTATTCAACTTGAAAAGTAATGAAAATTAAAATAATATAAAATATACCTCACTGCAATCTTTACATAAATATTTCAATGCTAATGCTGCTGCTGCAGAGACTTCTTCATTATCAAATCCAGAAGAAATAAAATTTAATTGATATGGAATGAATTGTGGATGAAACCTAGTCCAATAAGAATATCTTGAAATCACCAAAGTAGCTGCGTAACGAATTTTTGGATGATCTGGCAGTTGTTGCAAAAGTTGCATAATTTGTGGCAAATAAACGTCTTCTTCATCCTCTATTTCAGATCCCATAGCACGTAAAGAAAATAATGGTGCTTCAATTTCTTGCCAGTCTACAGTCTTTCCATTTGCTGAATCTGCGAGTTGCCTTGATAAAGTGGCAAATGGTTTGGACAAGCACTCTGCAGATCCAGAAATCAAACAACTATCTTTAAGAACGTCACCCATTACATGCCGAAATTCGCGGAATTCGTCTCGTTTCTCAGCAGACCAAGTTGAAAGATCTTTTGGATAATGCAAATGTTTGATCATAATATCAACCAAATTGGAATATATATCCTTAAATTTATCTCTAATGTTCGCGTGACGTGGTTGATACAATGTGTCGGCTAAACGATGCCAGAAATAAAAGGTTATTCTAACTATTTCTGTATCTTGATAAGCTGTACACTCAACTATACTTTCTACAATACTTCTAAAATCGTCAGCATGCTGAACCACAAGATCCAAATATGATTCCCCGGCATGTGTGAATATTCTACAATATCCTCGTACTTTGTCGTCATCTTCTTCTTCCATTGCACTTTTTAATGCTGCTCTCAAAGGCAGCAATCTTGGATATATTTGCTCAATTATTGGCATTGACTCAGGAATTTCCCGCGTTTCATTAATTATTCCACATACTACATCAACTGCAATATCATATAATTCATCCGATTGTAGAGCATCAAATGAAAGACCTAAAAATGGACTTTTTTCTAAAGTTCCAATTGCAATTTCTCCAGACTGTAACCAGCTATGAAAACATTCAAACACTTTTTTTTGATAATCAGTATTTGTACCTAAAAGCCAATAATAAATTAGGATATAATTATTGTAACTTAATTAGATAATGATTTTTAAATACAATTACCCGAGTTTTGTAAATAAACCAAAAGCATTTGTAAAACTTCATTGGCATTATCAGTCAACAATTGCCTGGATCGCACACGATAATCTTTATCCTATAGATATTAATTGAATTATAATAACGAAATCCTAATTAAAGGACAAGATAGTTCCCACTTACCGATATAGGTATTCGATTATTTGTATTAATCTCTTCTGGCAATATTTTAAGAAACTCGAGCAAACAAGTTACTGTTTCCGGGTTCTTACCATATAATTCTGTGAATTGGTGTAAAACATTTTGCCATTCGGGCATTTGAAGTGCTAAGCACGCTAGGGAAATACATAATTGGGTAACAATCGATCGAGGACCAGAACGATATTGGTAGAGTAGTTCTAAAAGAGAATCACGGAGGTTATTGCGAGCTGTTGCATCGAGCTGATGTAGGTCAAGAATTATCTTTATTGTTAATAATCGATATGTAATAGGTTAATTCCAAAAAAAATATTAATAATTGAATAAATTGAATAGTAACGCGTCAAAGATTTAAAAGAAAAAAAAATAAATAAATACAAAAAACATACCTTTTGCCGAAAAGTACCTGCTGCGAAATGACGCGCCGCTTCCGATTGAGGTGTTAATTGAGGAGATCTTAACACTTGATTTGCTATCGTCCAAGCTTCCGACTGCAGTTGACGACATTATAAAAGAAAAGGTGGGAATCTTTATAATGCTTGTGAAGAAATCTAACAAAGCTTGTTGTCATTAACTTAGATCAGCAATCGCCAATAATTTACCGTCTTCCGAAAAGCTTGTAACCAAGAGTCAGCTTGCTCTCTTCTTACTTTGTCTTGCGAATTATATAAAGTATTCACTTCGGCTAAAAACTTCTCCGTCGTATCAGTAGTCATAGTCAAATCTTTTGGTCTGATGAAAATTCACAGTAAAATTTATTGTCTTTGAACACGCAAGCTATTTACTTCAGTTCTCTCGACCTAAATTTTCTCGCCAGGTTTATATCTATGATATGGTATCATACCAAAATTTATTATCAATAAATTTCGAAAAATTCAAAAAAGTCGGGCTTTTTGATCATCATACTCACGAGATTACACTATGATTAATTGCTGATTTAATCACTGATTAGGATAAAGTTTGACAAAAAAAAAAGTCACGGTATTATTTTTACATCGATTGTTATTCACTATTCACATGACAAATTATTGTAAATGTTTATATCTTTAATCAATATATTTATGTGATAAAATAGTTTCTATGGATTTAATCTTCACAAATATACAAATTATTAAAAAATAAATATATTATACTGTAACTACCAATTTGAATAATGTTATAAAGAAGGTGGGAATACCGTTTCTTTAAAATTACCCCAAAGTCCTTTATCATAAATATTGCGTACTTCAGACATGGATTTGACTTGCCTTCCGAGTTGTTTACTATTTTCTCCATTAGCTTCGCTTTCACCTTCTGATGACTTATTTTTTCGATGTCTAGCAGGCTGTATCCAATAGATAGCAGTTGTCCTACCTTTAACTATTGAAACCTCTTTATTCTTCTTTTTCCTCCTTCTAGATTCCTCTTCAATTTCTCTTTCAAAAACCCAAAGATCTCCGGTCATTATTATTTCTTCTATTTCTTCCCATTTAAATGCTTCATTTGCTGTTGTGCCATTATATACCAAACTAAGTTGATAACAAAAGAAAATTAATATGACCAATCCAACAAGAAGTGCAAAAATACCTAATGCACCAAGAACCCTTTCATGGTGAATTAAAAACTGGTAAATAATGATAAAACAATATCAAATTAATTAAATTACCAAAATCTTTCCCAATAATATGTTAAATAGTATTTAGCATACCAGTGCAGCCTGATATGTTGAAATCTTAACTTTTCTTCCAGTCTGTATGGAAGTAATCCAGGCCTCAGCTAAATTCATTTTCTTGGCTATATCCAAAAATATGTGATAGATCAAATATGCACCGTAAAAGCAAATTTGAATAGTAGCATATAGAAAAAGAAGGAAATAGCGATAGTTCTTCAAACCAACACAGTTATTAATCCATGAACCTGAATATAAAATTAAATATTTTGATTGCACTTAAATAATATAACGATATAATTAATATTAGTTATCAACTCACAGTGATGATCAGACTTTGCGACACACATTTCACATAGAGAACAATGTTTCGAACGAGCAGGCCTAATTTTAAAATCATTAATCAAAAGTTATAAATTTAATGATCTTACATATTTTAGGAAACTTACTTTAGAAATAGGCATGTTTTACATTCTTTTGGCTCGAATATCAAAAAATCATATTCGAACATTTTGCAAGCTTTAATAACATTCTCCCTTGTAACCTTGCCTGGATCACTCTTACATGCTATAAAAAATGACGCATATGTAAAGAATATAACTATCGGAACAAGATATCTAATTGAGGGATGTAATTTATTTATAGTTAATCAACATATATATTGTCTGAGTTTAATGTTAAAAAGAATTATCATTTCTTGACACGTACACTACTTACTTATGCACATCAGAAAGATAGTGACCAGGAATATTAGGCCATGCAGTTATGTAAAATAATAAAATTGACCCTGTTAGAAGTGTTAAATATACTATCTAAATATAAAACGATTTACTTGTTAGAATACAATATAAAAGTAGATAATAATTCAAAAATCATGTGTAAGACTTTATCATAAACAACAAACATTCTTACCACTAACACTGGGTTTTTTTTTTCCATAAAATAAACGCAAAGCCGATCGCAAGTTTCTGTTGTACGACCTTCACAAACTTTTCGATAAGAATGTCTAAATTTTTAACAAAGTAATTTAGAAAAATCGAAAAATATTCGAAGTTAACGTAATTAACTCACCCTATCCATTCAATTAATGTTACTGTAAAAAAATGATTTAATTTTCCAATTGGGCCATTTCTAAATTAAATTAAATATTGTCAAATATAAATTTATAATGATTCGTATAAGCAAGTACGTACCTGAAATGTGAAGACGGGCCCATTATCAACACAAAAATAAAGAAACAGAGAACCGCTAAATATAATGTAATTCCTATAAAAAAATCCTTTACAAAGAATATAAAATTTATAAATCATCTTATCTTTAATTAAACCTAAAATATACACAAAAACCTTACCATTTTTCAAGACAAGTATTTTGAACTTGGAATTTAAATAAATACAAGGAAACAAGTTTTTACTACTCATTCAATAGTATCCAATCAGAGTTGTTTAAAAATGATCAGGCCGATCAATAAACCTTGTGTCGCGATTTGTTGCGTTAGAAGCACAATGCAAAATCGAGGATCTAATTCTAACAAATTGTCACTACATATTCACACGGATTCTGATTTCGAGTAAAATATAAATATTTTAAACATTTTCGTGCAAACTGAAAAGCATTCGATTATTATGGAAGCCATCAATTTCCGATTTCGTGAGAGTAATTATTACGCGTTTACATTCCGCCTAACTTCAAAACAGATTTATCGCAAAGTTTTTCATATTCTTAGAATAAATATAGAAATTAAGAATTATTAAAGGATATGAAAATAGAAATTTGGTGTAACGAATTCAAAAAGAGTAATTAATTTTAGTTGGGATTTGCTGTATTGTAACATGTTTTTAAAGAGAAAATTAGACACAAATAGAATTTTTTTTTTTTACTTGAAAAAAATCTCTCTTTACAAAATTGCAATAAAAACAATTAAATTGGTATACAAATATATAAGTATATAAGTCTATTTCCCAAAACAATAATTTCAGATAAACTCCATCAACAAATCGTACAAATCAAACGGCATATGATTATTATCTATGAGGAAGCATACTTTTATTTATAATATGTGAAAGAGCAAAAATTTGTTATTAATATGTTACAAAAGTTAATAATAGAATTTGACACCGAAATTAATACCTTTTTAACATATTCTTTAGCTGTCTTAGTAAATTTTGCTCTATTTGTATTATAAACTTCAGCAATAGATGCAACCAGAGCATCATCGGGATTTGGATTCTCAAGAAGATCAGCAATAGCTTCAAGTACTGTAAATTTGAATGAAATATTAATAAATAAATAAAAAACCTTGAAATATGAAATTTTTATACTGACCATGAGAGATCGTCGTTGCAGGCTTCCAAACATCAGTTTTTAACAAATTTACACAAATAGAACCGTCATCGTCAATATTAGGATGATAAATTCTAGTGATGAATTTAACCTAACAAATAAGATAATAGAATATAATATTAATTTTTCAAATGGTGAATGGTGGTGGTAAATAAGTTGTAAATCTCATTAAAATAGATACATACTGAAGGTGGCTTAAATGGATAATCTTGAGAAAAGTCGATTTTTAGCCGGAAAATTCCACTTTTGTAGCAACTATTATTCTGTTTAAGTATGAATCAATATTCAGTTGACATTATTTAATTTAGAATATGAAATATTCTGTAATACTTACAGGTCCCATAATTGTACCTAATAAGTCAAGTATAAAATGATGTAAGTTTGAACCGAAAGTAAAGGGATAGAATAATATTCTTAGAAATACAAGTTACCTGTCCAACTGAACATATCTTCCTCAGAAGTAGGTCCAGCACTAATTCCAACTGGCGGGTTTTTGCAGATATCATTTAGTTCCTATTTTAATTAAAAAGCAGAAGTTAAACTAAAATATTCTTTTTCGACAAGAACTCTTTCAATATTTTCAATATCATTTTTTCACCTTTTGAATGCGTTTAAGAGCCATTTTGGTGGTTACTATAATATAAATCAAAGAATAATAAAGAAAAAAGATGGCTTATTCTAAAGTCAGCAGAAGATAATATTTTAAAAAACGAAACTTTGATCGTCGAATTGCATCATAAAAGCTAAATTATTCCGCTTTAATAAAAAATCGGAGTCTTGTTAAACTTACGTAATGATGCACCGATGTTCATTCACATTGATTTTCCGGAATTGTTAATCCTAAAAAATATTCTAATGTAAATATATCTTTTTTATCACGTGATTTACTAATAACTAAAGAAAATTTAATCGATACAATTATTCTAAATCTTTATTTTTCTCTTTTTTTTTGATGATCAAATTCACCATTAACAAATAAAAAGATCTAAATTACATTAAATCCAAATAGAAAAAATAAGATTCGGAAACAATGATTATATAGAATTACATTTTAAATATTTTTTCTTTTTTTTTTTTTTTTTTNTTTTTGTTCACAAAAAAAAATATGTATATATAAAAAAAATTATCAATACAATTTACAATAAATAATTAAAATTTTTTTCATTAAAAGTTTAACTATAAATAAATACTTTTGCTTTTCCCTTCCCCCAAGAATTCCTAGCTTAGATTACGCTATTCTATTACCAATCTTCAGCATCTACAAATACATCATCGTCATCATCATCATCGTATTCATGATTAATTACTACTGTAGGTACACTAGTTTGTAATTTCTCGTGTTCTTTTTCATTTGTTTCACTATTAAATTCTTCAAAACTTTCTTGAGCATCTTCAAAATCGAGACTAATAACGCTAGATGAATCATCTCTAAAGATACTTCTGTTATCTTCATCTGAAGGTTTAATTTCCAACTCAACTTCAGTCTGTGAGATGCTGAAAGTTCTTTCATTATCTGGTGATCTTGGAGGCGTAGAATCTGTAATCGAAGAACTTGGGGTTAAGCATGGCATTGTGGACAATGATGACGTTGAAGACATTGGTAATAAGGTCATGGTAGTATGTTTCTCTTTCTTGTCATTATCTGTCTCAGGTTTCTCTGTAAATCTTAAAGTTGTTTCTACTATATCTTTACCAAACGGCTCGAATTCCATAGTGCTTTCACCAAGTCTGTACATACTTCTTCTATTTTGCCAGTAATTATCATCGTCCATAACAGTGGCACATAATTCTTTTTCTAAGATCTCATGATAGCAAACCAGCCGACTAAGCTCAAGGCAGGTGTGCTTAAGTTTTTGAGCTACTACATGAGCAACTTGTATAATACGATCTCGTGTTGTGTTCTTATATGGTATCATAAGGAATAAATTATTCCTGAAACGCACATCTAATTGGAGCTGTGATGTTAATGCTGATATTTTACTTTGGAGTTCATCAAGTTTAGACTATAAAGAAAAGAAGAAATTATATTATTATAGTATTTTACTTTAAAATTATTTGTTAATTCTTTTTTAACACACCCTTAAAACGTTTGCTCTTCCATTAGCCTCATTTGAATTATGGTCGCCAAGTTTGTTGTTAAATAATAAATTTTGCGGATTCCTTTTTTCCTTTATTGATCGGACATTAATATTCCTTATTTTCAAACCAATGGTCTTGAAAGTTGCAGCATAATTGATTTTTGTAATCCAATCATTCATTTCATCTTCACTTTCAGCTTGGAAAAGATACTGATGACCTTTAGGACACACAAGTCGGAAGACATGCGGGTACTTTGTATAAGTCTTATCATATACAGCAACTGATTCTGCCGTCATGAGAATAACATCAGGTCTTAAAATTGGAGGCTTTTTCGACTTCTATTATATTTACAGAGCAAGAAGAAAGAAACAAAAAATTAAGTCAACTCACAGAGAATAATTATAATTTAATATAGTAAGTACCTTTGAATCATATATCTCGGCCATCTGAGTATTAAACCAAACTTCATCTTTAAAGAACATTAGTTGGCTCCCGCTTAATATCACGCCGTATTGCCTCCAACTTCTTACAAACCCACTCTTCTTTTTACCTTCAACCATGTCCACTTTTCTACCCAATTTACCGCCTTTGGTTATTTTAAGGACAAAAGTACCGTCTTCTTCATCTAAAGGTTGAATTGAAGTATTTGTGGGGTTTAAAGTTTCACCATTACGACGAGTTTGAACACCTGTAACCCTAACCGAAGGTGCACTCGCAAATGCCCGATGCAAATTTCCAGTATCCAACGACGGAAGTGTTCCCATGTAAAGATAAGGATTCTCTATAGGAATTAAATGTCTTATAGCTGGTTTAAATTCGGTTGGAATTTTCTGAAAAAAAAATATATATATATAATTTTTAATGTATATTCTCTCTATTATTTATCTAATAGCTAATTATGACCGAAAAACTGCTTACAGTCTGAATAACTGTGTAAGGATCATTTTTTATACGCATTGATTTACGTCGTTCTTTAGCAGAAGAAAAAATCCTTAATTGCTTATGATCTGCTGGCGATTCAAGTATCGTTTGACCATTCACGTCAATGTCATCATCAGCGTATATGAATTGTGCGAATGTAATATTATCATAAAGGATCTACCAAGAAAGTTCATATTTAACTAACCATTTTTTTTTAAAAAAAAGCATGAACTTTGCTATCCTAAATACCTCTAAAATTTCAGAAGATACACCATCAATGCGTGTATTCTTTACAAATTCTTCCTTTGTCATTTTACGTTTAACGCTCTTATTAAATGCATCAGTATGAAGCATTAGTAAAGAAAATGCAAGAACGTATGGGGTATCTGCATGTATAGAAATGTGTCAAAAAATGGTTAAACTCTTTTAGATAACTCTTTGCTAACTCTTTTTGATTTTCATCACTCATCAACTTATTATTGCTAATAAAATTTTCTCCATTAAAAGAAAAACAGATTCTTATTTCACGCAAAATTTACATACCTGAAGAAGCATACAAGTCAGGATTAGATTCATGATATCTCTTAGCAAAAGCTTCCATAACACGATCAATTTGTTGCGTTTCTTTTGGAAGGTGGCATTCCATCAAGAATTTTCTGGAATGAAGTTAAATAAACTCTAGTCAGAATGAATTCAACGGAATATTTTTTTTTTTTTCTTTGAAAAAAAATAAATAATTTGTCTACCGTAATGCAATATCAATAGGATCCTTTTCAAAATCAAAAGCATTCATATATTCTTTAAGAACAGCTTGATGGAAAGAGTCTGATCTATTGTTATAGTAAATAATTAAGTCAGAATGACACTTAAAAAAAACATAATTTAAAATTTAAAATATACTTTTTTGCTAGCATGGAAGGAAGTTTTGATTTTGATAAAGTAAATTGCATCCTTTCGAGATATTGTTTCGGTGTCTCAGTACTCAATTTATTTTCCAGTGGCACAGTATTTTTTTGATCCAAATGATTTAAATTATACATAGACTTTGTAGATAGAAGCATATCGCTATAATATACATCACTGGATAAATTAGGCATAACAGGAGCTGATTCAATACGTTTAAGATAATGCTGCCTCCGTGGACTAAAAGGTTCCGAATTTTCAAGATGAGATTTTTGATAACCTTTTAATCCTAGTCTAGGAGGAGGAAAAGGACGCCGTGATTCGGATGAAAGTGTATTAGAAGAAGAAGTTGTTGAAGTAGGGGAAAGTTCTTCAACTTGTTGAATTTTCACGGGATCGGTTGAAGTTTTTGATGAGACGATCGTAATAGATGAAGGATCATTAACATTAATATTATTGTCAAGAGATACTAATGGTGTTTTTTGGGATGATGAAGATAAATGTTTGTTTTTACCATCTTCACCACTACTACCGAGCTTATCAGGCTCAATTGGAGATATACTAAAGTCTCCAAAGTCAAGGTAAAGTGGGCCCTGCCCCGGTGAATTTTTAGCAGATATGGTCGTTGTGGTGACAGTGGTAACCGTAGTGGTTGTAGTTGTCCTTGTAATTTTCGTTGCCGGATCTGACTCAGGTGTTGATATAATTGTTGGTGATGTTGATGTTGATGATGACGGTGTTTTTTTTGATTTTGATGACTGCAACTTATTATCATATGGTGGTGGTTGAACAATTTCTTCAAAACTTGCCGTGATTTTCGCTAAATTATCATTTGGAGGTATTTGAGAAATTATAGAACTTTTCATTGAAAGGTCATTGTATTTGTTTAATTGCTTTCTATCATTTACTGAAACCATACTAAAAATAGATCTATATAGAACGTTTGGTCAACTACCTAAATTGTCCTTTGCAATGCAAGTCTATTAAATGAAAAAAAGCCTATTGTTGTTTAAAATACGAATGAAGATGCAGGTTGGAAATTAAAGTTTGGCAAGAAACCAATTGTTTGGGACATAAATATAAGACGCAGTCTTATCAGAAAAGAAGGTAAAGAGAAACAAAGATTGTAATATTTTTTGAGCGCCGCCGACACACCAAGTAAAAAAAAATATATATTTCCAAGGATCAAAGTATGATCTTAAAAATTGCCTTGAAAATTATGGCAATTAAAATTGAAAAGAAAATAAATTTCGTTTTTTTTTTTTTTTGGGCACAGGCCGGCGCAATTCGCAATTTTTGTAAAGGAAACAAAATTTTGGTTACTGTATATCAATAACGTTACAATTGAAGTTGATCAGTGTAAATTGTTACAAATTACATCGCACAAAAATTATGGCTATTTTTAATACATTACACAACAAAAAGTAGCGTGCTTGTATTTATATTAATTAACTTAAACACCACTCATTTTTTCTTCTTGTGTAAAGAGTCGGTTATACTTCATTCTGAAACAGGAGATGCATGTATATAACAAATAACAAATAAACAATAAATGTTATTTTTCGTGTGGAATGACCTCAAAGTTTAGATTTTGATGAAATAAGAGATCATTTAAAATCATATTACTCATGGCGAGAAATTTTATATACTAAATAACTCTCGATCTCGCCGTCAAATATTATAGTTCTTTTTTTTAAAAAAAAATTAAAATAATATGCATAAATAATCCAAGAAAACATTCAATGATCTATTTCGTTTGAAATTTTAATACTTTTTTATGCTTAAAAAAAATTCGGAATTATGGAATTTTAATTTCGGTTAGTTTTTGTTTTTGTTGTACAAATTTATGCAAATTTATTTATATATTAAAAAAAAAACAATTATTGTGTTTAGATTTCTTTTATTTATTTACAAAAAGGGAAATCATAAAAGATATTTAAGATGATACTTTTTTAGCATCTAAGAGATTCGTCGATCTCATTAGTAAGAAATGATAGTCCGGGAATTATTGATTGGAACTTGTCTTATTGGAGCAAAATCAATATATTTTTTAAATACGTAACCAATCAATGGACATCCCTTTTATCCTAGCCTTTTCTTTCACGTTAGATAAAACGGAGCGTTTTATTCGTTTTATCCTAGCTCTGTAGATTGTGGATATATCACTTGATCCGTTGGATATTCCAAATCTTACTGATAACTTTAGCTCATCAAACAAGCTTAGGAACTAAAGACAGTAGGTAGAATGAAAATTCCTTTATTATTCTACCGCTAGAGGTCCATTAGTAAGACGCAAATCCATCCTAAAAGTTAAAAAATTATGTAAATCTATTGCTATTTGCATTACCCGTCTTTGTGAGTTCGAATTGACATTTAACTGTTTTACATATTATAAGCCACTTACTTTCTGTTATGTGCTTATTTACATAATAAGCCAATTTTCATTCTTCCAGGTTAAAAATAATTGTGCCATGGGTTTGTAAATATTCTTGTGCTAGAATTTCGCGCAAATTTTTACCAATCCGTTTTAAATTTATTTAAAAGGGATTTATAAATAATTTTCAAACTCGTACTAGTTCAACTTGACCGAAATTGATGTTGAATACCTATTTACATTCTAAGCGAGACAATTTAAGTTTCAAACTTTCGTACCGTCTATCAAGTTTAATTGAGTTGCTATTTTTTTGTTGTGAGGAAAATATTGAAATTTGAAGATAATCTGGCAGATTGAATGATAAAACTGTTTGAAAGTGTGTAGGAAAGAAATATGATGGAAATTCTTTATCGATTCATTAGTTGCGATCGAAAAAGTTGTTAATAAATATTACTTCATTTCTATATTATCAGAATTATGTTTAAATGAATTTTTTCTGTCAAAAGAAATATAAGAAGGCCAAAACGGATAACATAAACCAAAATCCAAAGATATAATTTATTAGATTAATCTGTAACCGAGAAATTTATTCTGTTGTTAATTTAATTCTTAAATACCGTAATTTGAACCAGGAATTAAAAGTAGTACCGCCCGATTTGAAAGCCACGTCAAGAATTAGGATATAAATAGAAATTTTTTTAAGCCACAAATACAACAAAAATTATCAAATTTTTGCACTGCCTTTAGTATAATTCGTCAATTTGATAAATTATTTTTAATTGTTACGAATTTAAAGACCAAAAAAAGCTACTGATCCAAAGAAGTTTTTTTCTGGTCGAGATCATGAGCAACGATTTATTTTTTTTTATAATTTGTAATTTTCATTTGATAGAATTTGAAACATCATAATTTCATTATTTTGGGCTATTTATTTTTATTTCATTTTTTTTACGATGCTTCCTTTTTTTGTAAAATATTTTGGCTTTTTAGTTTTATTAATATTTTTACCTCTTCAAACACATTCATTCTTTCAACGTGAAAAGTATTTAAGTAGTGGGCTTTATCTTATAAATGACGTTGGCTTAGGAAATATATCGGGAACAGTAGCGGCTTTTGCAGATTTCAATTCTGATAAATAGTGAGCATGTTTTAGATTTTTACTTTATTACTTGAATCGCCAATGAATCTTTTTATCGAATTCTTTAATTTTTTGAATAAATCAGTACAGATCTATTAGTGTTAAGTTCAGATCAAAGGTCTATAAGTGTTTATTTGTGGAATCATGGTAAATTATTAATTATTGTGTTCATTATTTAAAAAAGGACTATATTTGTTAAAAATTAATTTTTATCATCTATAGCGAATTATAAATTTACCAAAGCACCACATGCAGATATAACAATATTGCCAAATGAAGAAAATAGTTTTATAATTACAAATATATTACCGGGAGATTATAATTATGACGGGAATTTGGATATTTTAGTTATGGGACAGACCAATCCATTAAGTAACAATAGAAAACAAGAGCCTCTTTTAATGCGAGTGTATTTTGGATATGAAAATGACACATTTAGTAATATTTTATTTCTATATTGTTAAATTATTATACATTAAGAATAACTCTAACTGAATAATATATGATATTAGATCCTAATTTTATTAATGTAAAACCAGCAACATATCAACAACCCATTCCATTTGATTTTGATGGTGATATGAAAATTGATTTAATAGGACATAGTTTTGATAATAATACGAAGCTTTCGATATGGCGGAATATATATAATGAAACTACACAAGAATTATTTGAAGTGTGAGAATGTTAATAAATTTCGAATGAGAAATTAAAAATATGACAACATTAATTGAATATTTTTATTTATTTTAGAGTGCCGTTACCTATACTGCCTGATTCTAATGTTCCACCTTGTACATTGTCAGATCCACATTCTAATGCTTTCATTGATCTTAATGGTGATTGCAAGTCAGGTATGAAAGTAAATAATAAAATTTTTTTTGGGAAATACAATAATTAAATATATAAAAAAATAAAAAAAATATTTATATATACTTTATAGATTTGTTTCTTACATGCCAAGACACTTCTGGAAAATTAACGTATCAAATATGGACGAATACGATGGATGGTTATGTATTTAGCAAGTCTGGCGATTTACCACAAGGCGTTGGTCAAATATCGTTTGCAGATATGGGTTTGTTAAAAAGTTAATTTCTTATCTGAGAAGTTAGGAGCATATAATTTCAATTATTCTTACGTATTTCATTTTAGATGGTGATGGAACATTAGACATGGTGTTTCCAGTATGTAACAACGGATGCAAGATTCATGTAGCATATAACAGACAAATGCCATTATGTGAGAATAAAGATTCTAAGGATTGTCGAAAAGCATCGGAATTATGTATACCGGATGATAGTTTCAATTTTGATATGACAACTGATGCATCAAATGGCGTAAGTTAAGATTTATATACACATTTATAAAGAGTAATAATAAAATAATGTAATATGTTATGAATAATTAATATTCCTATTTGAATGTCAGGGTTATGTTATCTTGGATCTTCAGAGCGAGTTGCCTGCTGGAGAAGATATTGTATTATTGGATCCAGATTTTAACGGAATTTTACCAATTTCTCTTCGTATTGGTAAAGATATTTTTATTTTTAGCTCTTGTTTATTATTGTACATTTTATTTGACACTTTTTTTTGTTAGGTGATTACAATCTTGATGGATATCCGGATTTACTCGTGATTACTTCAAATTCCAAAGGATCACATGTAACATTGCTAGAATCAATTTTATGTACAAATCGCAAATGTTCTTCTTCGGCAGTCGCATCACAAAAACGAACATTTATTAAAGTTAATGATGGTGCCCAGCCTCTCAGTGATATCAAAAATGCCAAAAATGCTGCCTTTCTGGATCTTGACGAAGATGTAAAGAGATTTTTAATTTTTTACTATTCAACCTATGAGAAAATTTTTTTATATGAAACTCATTATTATTATTAGGGAACAATGGATATTTTAGTACTTACTGCTACTGGTGATAAAACAGCATCAAGAGGTGTACGAATGATACATAACAATTACTTTAATGATGCATTCTTCCTTAAGACTTTAGGTATGTAGTTGAATTAATTATATACCTATTATGTTTAAATATATTAAATCACGTGTATTATTTTATTATAATAGTTTTAAATGGGGTGGCACATAAACAGGTTAGTTATAGTTTATTATTATTTGTAAAGGTAAAAAAAAGGAAATAAATAAAAATATTTCATTTATGTTTTTTATAGCGTTATGGAGTGAATTATCCTGGTGCAGAATTTAAATTCACTGTACTTGATACCTCTGGAAGGAAAAGAGCAAATCAAGGTATGTTAAACTTAGATTATATTATACCTTTTAATGAATATTAATATATTTATGATATGTAAAAATAGTTGCACAATATTTCCAAAGTGGATATTTGTCTTTACAAACACCATATTCACTTTTTGGACTTGGGCGTACAAATAATTATGTTGAAGAATTATTTGTTGGAGTTTCAAGAAATCAGGTAATTATGTATTATTTATTGGACGGAAAAATATATTATATATGTTGTCATAATTATGTAATAATTTTTATCTTGGTGATAAATTCATATTTTTTTTTACTAATCAAAAATTTAATATTGTTAGAGTGCATATTTTACCAGTTTCGCAGGAGTAATACCTAATTCACAACTTATTATTATTCCTTATCAGCCAGCAGGAGTATATGATACATCAACGTAAGTAATAGCTAAATCAGCTCAGATATTTACACAATTCACTTAACATACGATGCTCTCTTTTAATAGATGGTCAAGAGAGTTATATATTCATCCAGGTGATTGGATACCATGGGTATTATTGATTTTAGTTATTGTAACAATAATTTTAGCTATTGTTGTATTTACATTAAATTATATTGAAAAGGTAATTAAAAGATAATTAACTTTAAAATATTTAATTATTAATTATTAAATTTATATTGATAATTTTTTTCTTATTTGGTAGAGAGAAGATGAAAATGAAAAAAGAAAGGCTTCAAGATTTGTTAATTTCGATGCTATGTAACAAGCGAAAATTTTTATAATCAATTAGAAAAATTATTTATAAATTGTTAAGTTGCTATAAAAAGGGTTCGTTATTATATGATGATTTTGTTAAAATAGTAAAATTTTGTAAAATACAGTACTATGTTACTGAAAAAATGGTTTGTTTTATATATATATATATATATATAAATTTTATTAATAATTATTACAAGATCCTTTTTTTTTTTAATTTAATAAAGGAAATTATATAAGATAGACTCATAAACACGGCTGTAAGCCGATAGATAGATCAATAAACTCAAAAAGTAAATATATACATAATTAACCTTTTCTATGTATAGATTTTGCTTCGGTTAAAGTCATTCCTTCGTATAAAGCATTTTTAAGATTTTTATCCATCACAGTATGTTTCTCACATGAATCTAGAACTTGATCCAATAAGTCTTTAGGGATACATACGACACCGTTTAAATCCGCAAGAATAATATCATCAGGATTAATTTTTATCGGAGGATCATGATTTCCATTAAGAGTTACTGGAATATTAAGTTCAGATAGACGTGTAAATTCCCTTGAAGATAAAATTGAAACCGCTCTAGCAAAAACCTGTATATATTTTAGTTTTTTTTTTTTTAAAAAAAAAATATTTGTAATCCCGAATTACATACTGGAGTTTCATCAGATCGAAGTTCGTCAAGATCTCGTACTCTACCATCTACCACAACACCTCTTACTCCAAGTATTTTAGCCCTTGTGTTCATTAATCCTCCCCAAACGGCATTTACAGAATCTATAATAATAATTTAATTTTATTTTTCATCTTTAAAATAGTGGAATCTTTTTTAAAATTATTTTTTTTTTTTTTAAAACAAAAACATACTTTGCGGAGTAGATAGAAACACTACACTACCGGAAGGAACTGTATCAACCTATATATAATATTATTAGATCTATTTATAATTTTTAAATCGAAATCACAATTATTTAGTGAAGCGAACATACATAAGATTTATCTATTTTAGGTGAAGTTGTATCGGATTTCGGTACAAGCTATTTATTATGCCACATAAATAAAAGTTATTTGAAACTTGTTCGAAACTATAAATTTTTTTTTATAAAGTTTCTTTTTTTATTTTTAAAAAAAAAAAAATTCACTTTAACAGTATAAACAGGACCAACAAGTTTAGTATCTCCTGATTGATATTCAGGTGAAAACATAACAATGTCAGGTAGATATCCTCCTAGAGGATGTTTTAATCTGAGAAGAGCATCGGCAACCTAAATTAAATTCTTGAAATTTAGTTACATGATAAAATTTTTTTACAAATTTTTTTTCTTCATAAATGGTTATCTAGGTTATTTTTAAAAATTGAATTCAAAAGTACTTTGAGGAAAACCATTTGTAAAAGAAAAAAAAAATTCTCTACTTTATAACTGACATACATCACAAGCTGAGAATGATTTTAAAAGTTCAAGTTTCTTATAAACCGAATTATCATCTGTCATTGTTATGATATTTCGAACAACTAATTTTAATTCATTTGGTCCTTTTTATAATTAACATTTTGTGAATCATGAACACGTGCCAAGATCTAATCAGATCGATGATTCATAAAAGAATTTATTCTTTTAGTTTTAGTTTGGTAACATCTGTTTCAAATAATAAATATGTCTTATTATAAACTGCCTCCAAATTATTATCTTCAATTTTATCCTCCCCCACCCCACCCTCCACCACCTCCTGCCTTTCAAACTACTACACAAAAATTTCTTCGTTTCCATGACTTTCATCATACTCATTTTATACAAAATAGGAATTTTTTTCATGCGCTTAATTCAACTACACCATGGTGGTCATGGAAAGTTGAAGAGGAAGGTGTAGAAGAAGGAAGTAGATATCAACAACAACAGCCCGAAGAGTATGAAAATTACGAGTATCAAGAGGAATATTATGAAGAAAGGGAAGAAGAGAAGGCTGAAGGAGTTGAGTTTGTGTTAAGTGAAGAAGCAATAGCAATGTTCCGTTTCTCTGAATTAAGAAAACAACAACGTAAGTTATTTGATTTCGATTCTCCTTTAATAGAACAAGTATCTCACATAATTATATTAACATTAAATTTGAAAAAAAAAAAAATATTTTTCTCCAAGTTGCGGAAGAGATTTCAAAGTCAAAAAAAAAAAATAATAATAATGACAATAATGATAATAATGATAATGATGATAATTTACAAAGTCAAGCATCATCAACAGATGATAATTACCTTGACACGGAACCTGATCCATCAATTATTCCGTCATTTCATAATCAACCTTGCGTGGAATCAAAAGAATTGTATGGAGACTCTTGCACGATCATTAATACACTAGAAGCGGCAGTTAATTCTACGTTTGTTCAAAGTTTTAATGTTTCTAATAAAGCCACAAATAATAGTCGACGAGACGAAGAAGTGGTTTATTGGCCTGTTTTGCCCTTAAGATTTGTTTAAATAACATTATGAAAGGAACTCGTTTTTTTGTCATTAGTCACGTTTTTTTTTGGACTATATGATACGTAAGTGAAAAAAAAATTTTTTATTTTTTTTCCAGATGATGATAAAAATCATCCTTGTTCTTTGAATGAACATCTTTTCTTTATGAAAATTGATTGTTCATTGTGACGAAAAAATCTTGTGGCCATATAAAATTATCTGAACGGATACTTTATAGAGGATATAAATTCTTCAAATAATTAATAAGTTTACTAACTAATCTTTTTATTTCTTTGATTTTACACGATAAAATTAATGATAACAAACAATACATTATAAAAAAAAAATTTTTTTTTTTTAAATATGAATGTGTGTGGAAAGTGCTATTTATTTTATTTACATATACACACAAAAAGTGAATTACAAGAAAAAAAGAAAAAATTATAAAAAAAAAAAGTTTCAAGAAAAAAAAATTTCAAAGAAAGAAAAAGTATTGGAGCATAAATAAAAAGAAAAATCATCCGAGCATAACCATAGAAAAAGAATTTTTTTTGTTCTTGTTATAAGGAAAGAGTTAGGATTTTTTTTTGGGTTTGAATTTATATGAATAGTAAGTTTTTTTTAAACGTTTTTGTATAGTAAATAGAAGGAGTTTCGAAATTTTAAGGAAATAATTTATGAAAGGAAGGAATATATGAATGTGAAAAAAATTCTTTTTTTATCATAAAAAATTTAATCATAATCTCGCATAATGATTGTATAATGTAAAATAATCAAATAGGGGAAAATAATAATAAATAAATAATAATAAAAAAAGAGCATTAAAAATTTACAGAGAAAAAAAAATGATTATAAGAAGAAATATGAAAGCTTTCCCACCTGACTATAAATATACAAAAATAAAAGATCCAACACTTGAATCACTACTAAATACTAGAGGATCATGCATGGGAATAATGGAATTGGATTCATCATCATAATCTTAAAAATGAAAATGTATCCAATTTTCACATAAATACATCTAATACGAAACACTAGCATTAAATCTATTCCTAAGACCGTCTAAATAAATTGTGAAACTTTTTTTGTTCTCTCGTTTTTTTTTTTCTTTTTGTTTTGTNTAAATAAAAAGAAAAATCATCCGAGCATAACCATAGAAAAAGAATTTTTTGATATTATTTATACAATTCGTTTCTTAATGTATTATCGTTTACAATTGAATTATTAAATTGAACGAGAATACATTTTTTTTTGTTTGAATTTGATGCGATATTAAGGAGATGATGATGGGTGATGATGGTGTTATATTGTTGCGATAGTGAATAATTATATGCTCTTTGTAAAGACATTTTTGTGAAGGATTGATTATTAAATTTAATGTAAGCTAAACGAAAGAAAAAGATTTTAAAAGTCCTAACAAAATATCATTTTTTTTCTTGACATTTTGCAAAAATGTTCAATTGATAATGATATTTGTATATATTGGTTTGTAACCAAGACTTTTTGGGGGTTGTTTTATATATAATAAAATTAATTTAGTCAATAATTAAGAAAAGGATCATCAAAAAGGAAAAAAAAATATAAATATAAGAATAAAGTATTTGTTACTTTATTCTTATTATGGAGTGATCTCATTGATATCCGTTGATGTTGTTGTTAGTGTTGCTAGTAGTAGTAGTAGTAGTGTTGGTAGTATTCGCGGTGGTAGTTGTAGAAGATTGGCGCATGGCTAAACCTGGGGGAGACGACTGTCCAACTGAAATTGATCCTATCGAAGGAATCGTTGTTGAAGGAACAGCCATAGATCCGTTAGGTTCATATACAACTTGTGCTTGTTGACTTTGTGGTGGCGGTTGTGGTTGAGCCTCTTGTTGGTTTATATCTTGTGAGCGTTGTTTTTTCCCTCCTCGACGATTAGGCGCTTGTCCATTCTCATATCGCTGTCGTTTCTTTATGACATCGGTCTTCATGGACAACGGTCGTCTCTCATGATGTAATTTAAAACTAAAATAAATAGGATTAATTAATTATTTTTTTTTTTAAAAAAAAAATAATAAATACTAAATAAACATATTAATAATAATTACTATAAGCCACAGGCATTGCAAAGCGTTTGTCCTTCTTCATCACGTCTCCACAATGGTGTAGTCATTGTTCCACAATTAGAGCAGACTGGTTGTGCAGCTTCATCATCACGAGCATCCTTACGTACAATATGTGGCTTCATAGTCTTAGGACGAGCCATTTTGTGTAATTTCAGACTAATTTAATAAAAAAAAGAGAAATATGTGATTAATAAAATTGAACAACGATTGCATCATAAAAATATATATGTATATTGTTAAATATAATTACTTACTATAAACCGCAAGCATTACATAAAAGTTCATCGTTGGCCGAACGTCTCCAAAGAGGAGTCGACGTCACGCCACAATTGAAACATTGTTGTTCACCATTAGAATGAGCCTTTTTAGGTCTACTATTTTCAGATGTTGATGAGCCTGTTGAATTATTAGCAGAAGGGCGAGCAGCAGACGGCACATCCATCGATGATGTGGTGGAATTTGGAGAAGTTGATGATGACACTGATTTTGCCGATCCTTGTTGCGGCTGTTGCTGTTGTTGTCCAAGAGAAATTGATGCATTATTTGTATTATTTTGTTCAGGATATTGATTCATATACAAAATATTTGAAAGACTTCCGTGTGGATGTTCAGCAGTAGTGGGAGTATTGAGAGGAGTATTTAATGGAGTATTTATTGGAGTATCATGTGAAGTATTTAATGACATAGGACCGACATTGATATGTGAAGGTGAATGATCACTATTGCTAACGTAAACAGCATCGTGCCCAACGTTCATCGGGTATGGTATACTTGATTGCAATTCCGAATTTTGCGAAGGATACCAATCCGTAGGAGAAGGTGGTTCTGATGAGTCGGAAGAAGAATAGAAATGATGATGTGGATGAACTCTCATAACATCATTAAATTCGACCATCATTGTAGGTTGCTGATTATTAGGATCCAATATAGCGTGAGCATCAAACGATCGAGTGAAAATTCCTGGCAATGAAACGACTTGATATGGATCTTGATCATTGGTATATTGACGTAAGTAAAATTCTTGGTTTGCTTCATTGTATCTGAAAATATCATCTACACCAACTTAATAAAAGAAAATATAAAGACATTAGGGTATAACAATAATTAATAAGTTAACAAATAAATAATTTTTTTTAAAAAAACCTACTATTTAAACTCATATGATTGTCCTCGAGTGAATCCAACTCCAATAATTCAGCATTATTTTGGCCATTAATCGAGGTAATTATTTCTTTATTATTTCCATAATCATTTTGTGAATGATCACTAACTTCAGTACTATTATCATTAATATTATTATTATTGGTCGAAGAAGCAGTTATTTCAGTAGAAACAGATTCTGAAGCAGTTTTGATATGTTTAGTCTTCTGGTTAGTTTTCTTTACTTGTGATCCAACATTAGCAACAGCGCTTATGCTAGGTTTTTTAGCATATTTCTTCTTCCCTTTCTTTTCCAAAATTTCTTGTGCTTTAGGAGGTCGATAAAGTGGAGCAGCTAAATGTTTTAAATTGGTTGCTTTCTCATTTTCTAATTTTTTAGTTGTAGCAGTGGATAATTTTTTAAATTGTGTTTGAGATATAGATTTATTTCCATGGACCATAAGATGATGCATGAACCAAAGTCGCCAAGATAAATTTTCCAAACGCATTCCATATTCCAGTGAATCTTTTACTTTTGTCATTAAACGCCATGTTTTAGATAAATCTTCGTCAGTTTCTATCGATAACAGTGAGAATGCTTTATTGCCTTTGATCTTAAGTTTTGTTGGAGCCATTCAGATTTAACTATAAATATAAAAAAATGAAATAATGAAAAAAGAAATATTTAAGAATTAATTAAAAAAAAATACGTGCTGATTTATATATCGATCCTTATTATCTAGTAGGTTTTTTTAAATAAAAATGAAAAAAAATTGTATCCCTCAAAATTTTATTATGACAGAACTAAATAAGCAATACCTTAATAGTTCTGTATTGGGGGGTGAAGTAAAAAGAGTAAAAAAAAAAAAAAAGAGAAAGGGAGAGAGAGAGAACTAAAATTTTAAATTTACCTGATAAAATTTTAAAAAGTTTTTGGTTTCTTTTTCTCTTAAAAAGATTATTATAACAAGACCGATAAATTCTTTGTAACAGAAGGTAACAAAGAATTTAGTTGAACGTAATGTAGTTAAATTATTCAATAAATAATATGAAAATATTTGAACTGATGTAGTCACTCTTAGTAAAATAGTCGAACAGAGCGAGCGCTAAGGGGCAGAAAAGATTGATCAGCCGTATTTTTCAAAACTAATAATGTAACCTCAAAAAAAAATGTGGCAAAGTGTGAAAGTAGGGTGTTAAGATAAAAAAAAATAAAATAAAATAAAATAAAAAAAAAAGAAAAAAAGGTTGCCATTTACAACGATGACGTATTGAGCATAATATAAATTATGTAAAATTTAAAGTAATAATAAGTAATAATAATAGTAGTAGTTAAAAATATATATACAATATACATGCATGTTGTATACATGTTATATAATTTTTTATATAATATAAAAAAAAAAAAAAAGTAAATTCGAGGTTTGCGTCTTTTTGTTTATTATTTGGGGGTATGCATGATATAAATATGACTGACTTAACCAGTAAATAATTCACGCCCAAGTCTGTGATTTCTGCAAATTGTCTGCCCATTTGGTGACACAATGAACATGTAGAACGTTAGAAATACGATAGGATGTACACATGTTGTAAAATGTAAACTTGTGTAACTAAAATAAAAACAGATATTGTTCAATTAACATCTCTTCTGCGCCTAAATAAAATCTTTTTTTAACATAATTATTAGTAACAGCAAACCGTATGAGGGTGTAAAGTTGTTTTTTTTGCACGGCAGTTCTTCTTTATGATTGGATTATTTTCTTATTGAATATATTTCCATATTTTATTTAAACAAATAGAAAAATGAAATTATTTCTCCACAATCTCTTTTTTAATGTTACATTTTTTTATTTCCATTGCAATATTTTTTTTTTTTTTTTAATCACAGGAAAATGTTTAGTGACGATCAACCCTAATTGAAATTGTCGATTGGTCACATGCGAAAATTAACAAAATTTTTTTCTCACCTTTTATTTAATCCTGATAAAGTTAATATCACTTTCCCTCAAAACCAAAATAAAACTTTATGTACCTGCTTAAGAAAAATAAATACTTTTCCCAATTGATTATTAGTCAATTTAGTTGAGCTTGGAGAATCGTTAAGATCTGCTTGAAACAATGTGAATATCATCAGTTAGTCTAAACTAAGTTTAAAAAAAAAGGTTGTAAAAGTTTATACGGAGTTTCTTTTTTATTAATAATGAAAACTGCTTCAATTCTAACTTTATCTGGTATTTGACAGATTTTATTTATAAATATTATTATTACTATTATATTAAATAACAATAATTGTACTACGTTCAACTTTAAAAGGAAACTCATTCATAGAAATTTAATTTCTGGTTATTAAACCTGTTATCATTTTGTAAAAAAGTTAAATTTATATAAATAAAAAAAAAAAAAAAAAAATAAATTTATAAGATTTTGTAATTTATTAATTTTTTAATGTATTAGTTTTCAATTTTTAGTTATTATTAAACTATATAATAAATAATATCTAATTNTTCCCTTTCTAAAAAGAAAAAAGAAAAAAGAAGAAAAAAAAAAAAAAAGAGAGAAAAAGTTCATATTATTACAATGATATATTGTTGTTGTCTTTCATAATATTTCTTTTTATGAAATACATTCAAGTAACACATCTGCATGTCAATTACTAATTGTGTATCACGACCTTTAACATTTCCGCAATTATCATTATTTATTATCTATATTATTATTATTATTTTGTTTATTGTTATTATTGTACGTACACAACCTTTCCCTCCTCTTTCAAATAATTACCTTAATTAAAAATATTAATTATAAATTTACCACCTTTTCATTGTATTATTTAAATAAATAACGGACCCCATACTAATAATAATAAATATAATGTAAAGTAGAATTTTTAACAACGCGGCTAATTTGCAGCTGAAATTTATCAAATTCTCATGCTATAAAACTTTGTACTTTCTAAAATTTTCCGATGTAAATCATTGTCTGTTTTGTTATTCATTGATTACATAATAAATTGCGTCATTGTTAATTCCGCAAACATTCCGACTTCTCCCTTTATAGTTGAAAAAAATTCACACGTGAGTTTTATGGTTATACAAAATGATCTACCTAGCATGAAATCCATGAATTAATGTAATCTATATATAGTAATTTTTGATACATTGTTAACTGTGAGTTAATTTCGATTAAAAAAAAAAAATATTGCATCTATTTCTAAAAAATCTTTATTTTATTGTTAATTAATGAACATCATAAAAACGGTATTTGTATTATATTAATATAATTTAATTTAAACAGTGAATTATCTTTTATATATACTCCCCTTTTTTTAATCATCCGATTTGGTTACAATTTAAATTATTTAGTTAGAATATCTAAACAAATTATATACTTTTTTTTTACACGCATTGACCTCAAATTAATACCATTTAAGGAAAAGTCTACGCGTATAAACCCTTGAATAATTTTTATACATGAGAGGGAATAAAAAATAATATAAAATGTGATGAAGTTTTTGATCAAAGATATAATAAATACAAAAAAAAAAAAAAAATCTCGCATATTTTGATTAATATAATTATTACGTCTATGAAAGTAAATATATACAAACGTTAAAGCTTTAACAAGCCATTACGACGAATATATATATAAATGCTGGTGTTATATATTTAGTCGGTATCATCTGAAATATCATTAACTGTTGTATATTGCATTGCATTCTTCTCCCATACTTTACCGTTACCTGACGGTAATATCGGTATAGGAAGAAATATCGTATATATTGGGCTTAAAAAAATACAATAAATAAAACGTATTAATAAATAAAATACACTCAAATCATAATTAAAAATTATTTATTAATAGAAAAGTAACGTAATTTTTTTTCACTTACTATTTGCTATTGTTTTTTTTAAAAAAAAAAAGGAAAGGAAAGAAAAGAAAAAAGAAAAAAAAAAAGTTTAGTTCAAAAAAATAAGATCACGTGAGAAATATATTCAAAATAAAGATAAATGATAACTCACTAATTCTGGCCAACATTAAAGAATTGACGAAAATTGTTTAAACATCCCACGTCATATGGGTTTACAAATACCTAAATAATATAGTTAAATTTTAAAGTTCATAAAATTTTAAATTGATATTGATTAAATGATTAAACAAATTATCTTATTACCTCTCCTTTTTGTCGAGCTGACCGTTTTGCGTATTGATTATTATAAAATTCTACTGTTGTTTGTGATGTGAAAACCTGAAAATATATATATATATAATATATTTAATAAAAAAAAAAAAGATTTAAATAAATCCAAGAGAAAAATTAAACTTACTAAATAATAATGCCATGAACACATTCCTCCTATAAAACATTTTATATGTTATATGAAAAAATATTTAATTTCTAAACTGTAAAATAATAGACAAATTATATATACCTAATGCTATTCCGATTGCGACAGCAAGCAAAAATGATAAGGCCATATAAGGTCTTGGCATCCAATAGTTCCACTTAAAAAGAAAAGCGTTTAATTAGACTCAATTTATATTGCGTTAAGAGCCTCCAAAATAATTTTTAATTATAATCACCTCAGCTTCAAAATCAAGACTGATCAAAAAAACTTTCCACCCAACAGCAACAAAATAAAAACAAGAGGCCACCAAATAAGTCATGAAAAGTAAAAAATATCTATGGTTAAAATGTCCAACACAATTCGCTATCCATGGACAATGATGGTCAAATCTTAATACACATTTTTTACACACTGAACAATGATGTGCTCTTTCAGGTTTTGGAAGGTGGCCTTATTATTATTATTTTTTTTAAAAAAAATAAAATAAAATAAATAAAATTAATAAAATTAAGAAATTTCATATAAATTAATTTACATTTTTTGCATGTTTTCGGAAATACTTGATATTCTTCCAATTCAATAAATAATTCTCGTAGTGTTGGATCATCTGATTCCTACATAAAAAATAATTTCACATCAATTAAATTTTATTAATTCTAAATAATTAAAAGCATTGAATGTATCTTACCGTTTCAGCAGTTCCAGCATTTAATACACCTCCAGGCTTTGTTCTAATTGCCATATAATAATGAAAAAAGATACAAACTATCATATATATACTAAATAATAATCCAGCATAATAAGAAAATTTTGTCCAAATATAATCGTCATCCCATTGATAAAAATAAGGAAAAACAACTGTAAAATATGTCAATGCTGCCATTCCGATCAAGCCTATGGCCAATATGATAAATACGGGGCCAATAGCGAAAATAACCGAATTGGCTATTTTATCAACTCCGCGAATAAAACCATGCCGAGTAGGGGTAAACATTATTTTGACTTGCAAACTTTAAACAGTTAAACTTAACGAAAGTATAATAAAAAGTATGCGGTGAAAATTATAATTTTATTTTTTTTTTTATAATAGGTAACTACAAATATTAAAATCTACGTATTACAACTAACTTTTTTAATATAAGAGGGTTGTAGTTGCTACCATCTTTGGCAGTCCCGCAGTTTCCTGATCATCCAAAATTTTGCAATTTTGCAACAACGCATCGATCCTTTTTTGCCGCATCCCTCCAAACTTCCAAATGTTTAAAGCCACAACTCTTTAAATAATTAATAACTTTCCTAACTTGATGACTTCCACCGATTTCCATAATTAACTGCGGTAAATAATTTTGTATACTATCTTTGAAGCGTAATAATCCGTTATTTCGAGTAGTATGATACGCGATACGTTCATGAAATGCGGTTCCATCTTTTTCAGCGACTAAAGCAATTTTATCTTCCCATAATTTAACATCATCTTTTAATGTTTTATATTCTTCATTAGTAACATAAGGTGGATTAGATAATATCATGTTAAATCCTTTTCCACTTTCCGTGGAATCTTTAATAAATAGATCAATTTCATTATCTGTCGCGTTTAAAATATCTAATTTAGAAAATTTTACCGAATTTTTTAATTGATTTTTGGAATTAAATGTAAAATAATTTAATTCTGCTAATGAGAGTGCGTTAGATGATATGTCTATACCATGTATATTACTCGAGTTTGTTGGAAGATGATGAGCAAGTGATAATGCAATACATCCTGATCCTGTACATATATCTAAGATTTCAAATTTTGTTCTTTCTTTACCTTTTCGTTCTTGAAGAAATGGTCCAAGCATCGAAATAACTTTGCTTGTCCATTCCTCTGTTTCCCATCTTGGAATCAATACAGGTGATTGAGTGATGATTTCTAAATCACAAAATGGTTGTGTACCAAGTATGTATTGTAATGGTTTTGATTTTTCTACTCTTTCATTAATTAACTCATTTAATAAATTTTTTTCAATTTCATTTAAATTTTTTTCTTCTGACAGAAAAAAGAAATTTTTTCTCGTTTTTTGTAATACATATTGCGTAAGCCATCTCAATTCTTGCTTGGCTTGAGTTATATTATTTCCATTCGCTGAAAGCAATCTTTTAATCATATGTTGCATGTTGAACAAACCATTGGATATACGTGGATTTATTTCTGTACGAAAAAAAAACGCATTGATTTAATATCTTAGGTGGTTAATCATCGCTCGTCAAATTCAGAATAATTTCTCTTTTTGTTAAAATACGAAGTATTATAAAATTATTAGTTTTTCCTTGGAAATTTTTAATAATTTTTTCATGAATATATTCAGTGGCTTAAAAACTTACATAACTACCATCGTATTTATTGGTTGATAAAGAAATAAAGGCAATCTGGTTTACTTTCATTGGATGTATAATCGGATGTGCAGACGATCCTTGATAAACAGGTTTCCCTCGATAATCATAACTGATAATTCTTTATTCAATAAATCAATACATCTCATTGTTAAATACGTATCCTCAATGATACAATACTTTCACCTATATTCCTCGAACTTTTTATTAATTAAAAACTATGATACCAACTCCTAACTTAGATCATTTATCACCCGGAGACTATGAACTTGTATATGAACCAGCAGGTAAGTTTTGCTTTAAAAAGTTTAATTACAAAAAACTAAAGATGATTAAATAGCTGTCTTTATTTAGAAGATACATTTTTATTGCTTGATGCACTTGAAAAAGATGCTGAATTTTTAAGAAATGAGATTAAACCTTGTATATGTTTAGAAATTGGGTTAGTAAAGTTAGTAAAAAGAAAGAAAGAAATCTTTTTGTAATAATTTATCATCATTATTAGATCAGGTACAGGGTGCGTATCAACATTTCTTGGAAAAATACTTGGTGATGGAACAGCACGTGAGTTTTTTCTTTTGATTATTTATTTATGGACATAAAAATAACATTTATATTATATATATATTTTTTAAAAAAAGTTTTAATATGTACAGATATAAATCCATATGCAAGTGCCATCACTAATAAGACGGGATATCATAATTCGGTACTTATTCACGTGATTTTAATAAATTTTCTTTCCCATCTTTACTAAAAATTAAAATTTAATTAGATCCAATTAGATTCTATTACTACCAATTTAGTAAATGGTCTTTTACCAAGGCTTTATCATTCAATTGATATATTATGTTTTAATCCACCTTATGTTGTTACTACTTCTGATGATTTATACTTATCAAAAAGTATTATTGAGAAAGCATGGGCCGGTGGAATTGATGGAAGAGAAATTATTGACAAAATGTTACCATTAGTTGATGTTAAGTATTTCTTATTTAAAATAAATTAATTTAATAAAATATTAAAAATATATATATATATATATTTTTCTTCTATTATAGAAATTATTATCGGATAAAGGTGTATTTTATCTTTTATTAATTAATGAAAATAAACCAAATGAAGTTTGTGAAATAATGAAAAATAATTATCATTTACAATCAGAAGTAAGATTTTATGTCAAAAAAGTGATTCTTTATTGTAAAATCAGTTAATTAATATTATTTTAGGTTTTATTATCGCGTTTAGCAGGAAGAGAAAAACAGTTGATCTTGAAATTTTGGAGAAATACCCGTTGAGTTCGCATATAACTCTTATAGATTGTTAAATCATTAAATCAATTAAATCATCAAGAACATCAGTTATCAATATTCCTATTTAACAAAAAAAAAAAAAACTTGTTGTAAATAACTGGACCAAATAGATATAATCCCAATTTTTTTTAGAAACAAAATAATCAGTTTTAATTTTTTTAGTTCTATCTACACGCGAAATCCAGTATAAAATAATCTATTGTTATTATTTATAAACGAACACAAATTCTTGAATTATTATTATATTCTATTCGATGTAATCCGTTAATTTCAAATTTGTAAAATTTGTAACAATACAGTAAGATAAAAAAAGTGATTTGTACGTATAATTAATTAAACCTAACAAACTAAAGAAAATGACATAGCGTCAATTAAAAAGTGTTTGTGCTATATAATTTGTGGAACCACATAGAAGATAATTACTTTCCTGTATCAAACTATGCATAAAATTGTTACAAGCAAGATAATCAAAGAAAAATTTGCGTTTTATTCATAATCAAGCCTAAAAGTTTCCATTGAGAGAAAAAAAAACTATGTAGTTTCATCCTTCATTTCTGATGTCGGTTGTAAATCATTAGGAGATCTGGAACGAGATTTAGGATGACCATTAACTTGTTCTGACCTTCTACGACGTTCAGATGGCGAACGAGAATATGATCTTGAGCGAGAACGATATCGACCAGAACGTCTTCTATCATGTTCGCCATCATATTTTCTATAATCTAATCCCGATCTACGATTTCGATTGGGGCTAGGACTACGACTACGTCTAAAAAACAACAAACAAAAAGAAGATTTATTTACTTAATTATCATTTGCTTTTTTGAAATCTAATCACCAAATATAAACCTTGGTCTGTAAGAATTTTCAGGTATTTCGTATCTTCCCCGTCTCATTGGAGAATACCTATAAAAAGTATAATTAAATTTTTAATTTGAATTCAATTTAATCAGTAAATTCAATGATCAAACTTACCTATTATCTTTGCCTCTCATTTCTCGAGGGGCTAAATTTTGAATTATAGTAAAAATGATATTATAACTGGTACTAAATCAAATTAAAAGAAAAGGACATTACTTTTTCTGGATCCACGTGCAAATTCTACAGTCAATTCTCGCCCATGTAATATGACAGTTCCGTGTCTGTAAGCCTCTTCGCAATCACGTTCATCATAATATCTTGAAAAAAGGAAGAAAAAAAACCGCGATTTCTTGTCAAGGACCGATGGAAAAGTCTTTAAAAAACATTCAATTCTTTTTGGTCGAGTAAACTTGAATCTTTAATCGACAGTAAGAAAACTTTGAATAATAAGTCTTTAAGGATACTCTATGTACGCAAAACCTCTTGGTTCCCTGGTGTAATAGTCCCTTGGTATATAGACTAAGTAAAAGGTAAAAATTGGTAAATAAAAATAGTTCAAAATGTTTGGATAATACTTATAAAGTACCTACCGTCTTTAAGTCTACCAAATTCTCTAAAAATAGGTTCGAGATCTTCAATACTAAAGACCAAAGAAAAAACCAGAAATTATAGAAAAAAATATATTAGCATCTCCTAAAATAAGGATATCACGCTTTATAACTCACGTTGTTCGCCTGGAAAGTCCAGAAACGAATAACGAGCGAGACATCCTTTCCCCATAAGAAGACATATTTTACTGGAAGAATAACGATTAAGTACGATATTGAATTGTTAGCTATTAAAAATTATGATTTAATTATACCCAACTGTTACACAAACATGAGAAATTAGCTTTTGAGCGGTCGGTCGGAATTATAATAATTTCAACTTAATTCCGCCTGAAATTAATTAAATTAAACCCTTTCTACTTCGAAAAAAAATATTCCTGCTGAAGAAACGTAAACGAAAAAATACATTTATGATTAAAGTAAAAATTATGAAATTACTGTATTTGAAATTTTTTTTTTTAACAGCATCCTAAACAGGTTATATTGGTGCATGATTCAGAATACAATTTCGCTAAAATCTTTTATAATTCTTCGTTAGGCATCAGGTGGACATTATGAATATTAACCTATAATCAACGCGATAAATAATAATTTAGAAAAATCGAGTTCATTTCTAGCACCGTAAAGGTGCGTTTCGGATAATCCGATCAAAGTATTAGAGCCATAAATTCAAATACAAATAAAATACGTATTAGGAAAATCATAGCAGCCATAATCGTCGGGTTGAACCTTTTCGTCATATTCGTTTAATATGATATACCAAATAATCGGATTTCGGATGCATCTCTAACAGGATATATTTTATTATCCAAACACAAGGTAACACACGTCAAAAATTAAAATTTTCCAAGTATGAATAAATAAATTAGTTACAATAGTCCATTTATAGATGATGATCGATCTTTTTCAAACAATTAATTTCACATGGACAATATAATAAATTAAATTAACGTGGTTTATCAAAGAATTTTTTCTAATATCCGTCCGGCCGAACTTTTTACCATGTAATATTTTTATTGGTTTCCTATAAACGAACATTCTTTGGAATAATTTGTGAAACTTCAAAGTTGAATTTGTATATATATAGTCCATTTTCGTAATTTTTTTAGAAATAATCATACAAATCAGCATTTACGTAATTGAAAATGGCAAAAGAATATGAATATCCTCACATATCACTACCTATACATCAAATGAAATTACATTATGACGTGGTGGTTATTGGGTCAGGCTATGGTGGTGGAATTGCTGCTTCTCGCATGTCAAGAGCCGGCAAACGGGTTGCATTATTAGAAAAAGGTTAATCTCAAACCTTTTCTGAAATTTTTTTTCGACTTTCTTTTTAAAAAAAATAAACACATTCATTATATTCATTGTAATAGGAAAAGAACGATGGCCCGGAGAATATCCAAATACATTAAAAGAATGTTTGAAAGAAATTCAATATAGCTCTCCAGAAAAGCATCTCGGTAAAAAAACTGGAATGTACCATTATTATAATGGTAGTGATCAAAATGCTGTTGTAGCCTGCGGGTAAGTTTCAAGTCGATATTTCTGCAATAACTCCGATCTAAATTTTCTTTGTATTTATTATAGTCTCGGAGGTACATCTCTTATTAATGCAAATGTAGCTCTTGAAGCCGATGATCGTATCTGGCAAATGTCAATTTGGCCTGACGAAATTCAAAATGATCATGATTCTATGAAAAGAGGTAATTTTTCTTTTGTATGTAACTAGCCCAGCCGCACCGGCAATTTTGTACAGTCACGTGATCGCTTTTAATTCATCACATAGTTCACACCCGTCTGAGTTTCTGTTTTTTTTCGAGTAGGTAAAAACTTATTCGCCACCCTTATTCGTCACAGTTAATTTTCACGTGTTAGTGCATAACGCCCTGTGTGCAAAATTTTTGCCGGTGCGGCTGGGGTAGTCAAACTTACTGCGCCACATTAAGTATTAATTTAATTTTATGCTTTTAGGATACGAAAGAGCAAAAGAAATGCTTCAACCATGTCAATATCCAGCTCATTTTCCTGAATTACCGAAATTAAGAACTTTGGAAACTCAGGCGAGATTATTGGGAGAAGAATATCATAAAAATTTTTATAGGGCTCCTATTACTGTCACATTCGAAAATCGAGTTAATGCTGCGGGAGTACGTCAACGTGCTTCTACGTTAACAGGAAATGATGCTACAGGAATTAATGATGGTAGTAAAAATAGTACACTAATGAATTATATACCCGATGCATGGAATCACGGTTGTGAAATATTTTGTGAATGTGAAGTAAGAAGTATTAAAAAATGCAAAAAAACCGGAAGATACATTGTATTTTATGAATGGTTAGATGTAGGTTAAAAAAGAATTTTTATTTATTTTTTTTTTAAAAAAAATTTTTATTGACATATGAATTAATGTATTTTATTCCAAAGGACAAACGTACAAATTTTACAGATGATAATCGTCATAGCCTTTACTTTGTTATTGCTGATACTGTTTTTCTTGCGGCTGGTACGTTTGGTTCCAATGAAATCTTAATGAGATCGAAGTCTTATGGTTTAAAGATTAGCGATCGTTTGGGAAAAGGATTCAGCGGAAATGGTGATGTAAGTGGTCTCATTTATAACAATTGAATTTTTTATTTTGTTTTATAATTATACTTTATACATGGAAATTATCTTTAGATATTTGGACTTGGCTATAACACGGATTATCTTGTTAATTGTGTCGGACCAATTAAAGATAATACAGCCAGCATGAAAAATCCAGTTGGCCCATGTATTACTGGTGTTATTGATATGCGTCGCAGCGCCGAAAATGTACTTGAAGGTTATGTGATTGAAGAAGGAACTATACCCGGATCTACGGGTAAAATTTTCAAACTAGTTCTCGAAGCAGGAAGTTTATTAATTGGTACCGAATCACAAAACACTACATTATCACAGTATGCAAAAAAGTTATGGAGAAAAATTGAATCGCCATTTAATGGAGTTTATACTGGTGCTACATCACATACTCAAACTTATTTGATCATGTCACATGACGATAATACAGGCCAAATAGAATTAGTAGATGACCGCTTGAAAATATCATATAATGGTGTAGGTGCTTCTGACACTGTAAGTAAATTAAATAAAATATTAGAAGAAGCTACAATTAAAATTAATGGAACTTATATTCCATCCCCTTTATGGACTGAACCTTTGGGAAGTGAGTTAATTACAGTTCATCCCATTGGAGGTTGTAGTATAGGAAAAAATGGAAAACATGGTGTTGTAAATCATAAAGGCCAAGTATTCGTAGATGATAGTAATAATCTTCATGAAGGACTTTACGTGTGTGATGGTTCAATTATACCAACTGCCCTTGGGGTTAATCCATTTTTAACGATTAGTGCATTGACTGAAAGAATTTGTGAATATGCAGCAAAAGATCGTGGGTGGGAAATTAATTACGATCTTGTCAAAAAGCCAATTGATTTTGATCAGCCACTTATATCTTATGAACGAAAATTCGATTTGACCAATCGAGGACATATATTGGAAGGTGGAATAAGTTTCACGGAAGTTATGAGAGGTTATTTTTCAACCGAAGTTTTATCAGCAGATTATGTTGCCGCTGAACGTAAGCACAACAAATATTTTATTTTTATATAAATTTAATTACCATTTCTAATGCAATTTAAATTTTAGTGCAAGCAAAATCTTCAGATTCGACAATGCAATTCATGTTAACAATAATTGCATACAACGTTGAAACATTAGTTGAAATGGATGATCATTCTGCATTAATTACTGGAACAGTTTCGTGCCGTGCGTTGTCACCTGATCCGCTGCTTGTTACTAATGGGAAGTTTCGTTTATTTATCCCAAGAACTGATCATGTTGATTCTAATCAAATGATGTATGATTTGAATTTGTCTGCAACTGATGGAACAAAATACCGACTCAAAGGATATAAATTAATTAAGAATGGAACATTTTCAGAACAAGTAACGTCTACAACTACTTTATATGTTACAATATATCATCTTGATGATTTAGATAATATTGACGAAGAGGAGGAAGCTGATATAAGAAAAGTTGTCGGTAGAGGAATTCTAAGAATTAAACCTTCTGATCTTTTGAAGCAATTAACTACACTCAAGGTAAGAAAATAGATGCGTCTTGTTTATAATTATATAACTAAAAAAAAAATTTGGTGATGTTTATATAAAATACAAATTATTTTAATTCCTACTTCATTTAGGCAACTGGAGAGACATCTGAATCAAGATTTAAAGCTATGATTACGTTCAAAAATTTTTTTGTAACAACAATTTTAAAACATATATTTGTTAGATTTCTTCCTTTAGAATATTCTCAAACCTTTTCAGTCGCAAAAACATTTTATTATAAGAGTAGACCAAAAAAAGAGATGTGGGAAATTATAGCTGAAGATGATGTAAAAAGTTTATTGCATAGATATCAGGGTGGAAGAAAAGGACCAATTCTTTTTGTACATGGTGCCGCTATGTCGCATGAAATGTGGACAACTAATTTAATTAAAAATAATATAGTGGATTATCTTTTAGAACACGGGTATGACATATTCTTAATTGACAATCGATTGTCAACTGCAAATATCGCTTCTAAAGAACAGCAAACTTTAGATGATATTAGATTAGATCAAGCTGCAGCGACTAAAAAAATTCGTGAAATTACCGGTGTTGAAAAAATTGGTATAATTGCTCATTGTGTTGGATCAATTGCAACATTTATGGGATTGTTAGATAGAAAAATCGAAGGAGTGGGATGCCTTATTGCTTCACAAGTTGCAATGCATCCTTCGGCTGGATTTTGGAATAGAGTTAAAATGCGTTTAAATATACTTCCATTTACTAGATTCGTACTACGTCAGTCATTATTCGATGCAAGAACTTCTCCAGAGACTAATTTAACCAACAAAATACTTGATCAATTATTACGTTTTTATCCGGTATCGAAAGGTCAAATTTGTCGTAATGCTTTATGTCATAGAACATCATTTTGTTATGGTACTTTATATCAACACGAAAATATTAACCAGCAAATTCATGATTATCAAGATGAATTTGTCGGTATTGTTAATCTCACTACTATGCAACATCTTGCTAAGGTATCCAAAAAGGAGTTGCTATTAAATTACCAAGGCCAAAATGTGTATGTAACACAAGAAAATATTCGAAATAGGCTAAACTTTCCAATTTGTTTCATTCATGGAGATAAGAATGTTGTGTAAGTATAAAATATAAGTTTGTTTATTTATTTATTTATTTATATTTATTTATTTATTTATATTCAATTAATTTTTCTTCATCAATAGATTCGATATAAAGTCAACGAAGAAGAGTTACGACGCATTACGATTAGTGAATGGAGCAGATAATTACGTATATAATGAAATTAATAATTACGGACATCTCGATGTTTGGTGGGGAACAAATGCTAATGAAGATGTATTTCCCAAAGTATTAAATCACTTGGAAGAAACCCAACATTTATGGGGATATACAGCTCAACATCCATCAAATGGTTTTCAACCCTTTGATGATTCTTAAAGTTTTGACATAGCGTTCCATAAAATAGATCAATTTCAAATAAAGTATAGTAATAATGTAAATCGTTGCGAGAAAATAAACTTGTGTCACATAACATATTCAAGCAAAATAGTAACCTTTATTAGAAGTCCTCCCGGTCCTTTCCCAAAAGTATTCGTTAAAGTAAGATAAGGTTACTACCATGCAGAAAGACAGTTTATAAAGACGGAAAAACTATACTTCGATAATCCCGTTAATTTTACTTACAATTATCTTTCACATGATAAATTTCTTTTTTGATATTCTATAATATGAATCCAATTTTGGCAGTAGTATTCACGTGATTAATCACTTTTTTTTGTGTCCAATTTTTATGATACCACATATAATTAGCTTGTACCAATCTTAATTCAGAAACGGGGTATGCAACATTAACCAATTAACTAACTTTAATTAGTAATATTTTATTTTGCATCTTCTATTAGCCTTTCGTAGTAATATGCATCCTTTGATCATAGTATAATAGTTATTATAATAATAGATTTTGAAATGAAACGTTCTATATATAAACCTTCACGTTTCCTATAGAAGTTTGGGTTCCATAAAGGATCGTTTTACGCCATATAATTTGGAAGCAGGTTTTTCTATTTTCTCCAATTTCTTGGCATTTTTGAAATTCGCAGTAGGGATAAAAATTTCATCCCTTTTATTATGTTGTGTTCATTAAAGTTTTGATCATTTACTTACATATGCATAATTAATTAGAGCGCGGTTATACAGTCTTCTTTTCCCCGCATAGCTCTAAAAAGCTACTTACAAAATAGGAAATTCTATTAAATATAAACTTTTTATTTGTATGCTGGTTTGATTAGCAGTAACGACCCATATCGCACATACCTATTTAATTAACACAAGAGTAAACACAAAATAACAAATATTATTTAATTTATTTATTACTAAAACTATTCAACAGTGTAATTTTAGAATTTGCAACCAAAAATAGTCTGGAAGCATTTATCTTGTCGCGAGTATAAATTTATCCCGCGAGTTTGATGAACACATTCAAAAAAAAAAAATTTTTTTCTTTAGAGGTTCCCACTTTTAATTTTTTCTACAAGAAAATTATTTTTTTTTTTTTTTTTTTTTTTTTTTTTTAAAAAAAAAAATTTTTTTTATTAAATTAATATAAGTTTTTTTGTTACGAAAATTTTTTTTTATATTGTTAATAAAATTAAATATTAATAACAACAATGGTTAAAAAATTCTTGGGAATACTTTCTCTAACCCTCACCTGTACCCTTCTTGGAGTCGTAAATCGTCTCGAGAGTGCTGAGGCTGCTGCTTGTGACCCCACCGCTTGTCAACCACCAAAATGTTTTTGCCCTTCCGTTAACCCTCCAGGTGGTTTACCACTTGAAAAAACTCCTCAATTTTTCCTTTTAACTTTCGGTAAGAAAATTATTTAATTTTTATAAGAATAATATATTGTTGATAATAAATTTAATAAATTTCAATTCTTTGATTTAGATGATTCCGTTCAAGAAGGTACCTTAAAAGGTAAGAGCATATTAATTTGTATGTGATTCATCATGCGTTTCTCCATTTGACAAAAATTATTTTTTTTTTAGTTGCAAACAGCCTTATTGGGAAAAGGAAAAATCCGAATGGGTAATTATAATTTATAAAAAAACAAACCTATTTAAAATTTAAAATTTTAATTTTAATATATATAATATATTTTTTTTTAATAGATGTCCAATTAGAGCTACTTATTACGTTAGTATCCAATATACAGATTTTTCATTGGTAACGCAGTGGTATGCAGCTGGAAATGAGGTATGTGATCTTTTTTCATATTAATATATCTGTGTGTATATTTTCTCTTTAAGAGATAAAAATTAAATTTAATGTATTGAACAGGTTGCAGATCATACTATGACACATCCTCAAGATCCTTTCGATGGTAAGTTATAAAAAAAAATTATTATTCGTTTAGTTTTATAACGTGATCTCTAATTTTGATTTGTTATAGATGAAATTATTGGATGTAAAAAATCACTTAACGCTTTTGCTGGTATCCCAAATGGCAAGATAGCGGGGTGGCGATCTCCTTTCCTCAATTGGCAACCAAAAACTTTTGACGTAATTGCTCAACAAGGGATTCTGTATGATTCCTCAACAACTGCATTGACAGATGATGCTACTTGGCCTTATACCATGGATTATGGTCTATATAATGATTGTTGGAAAGGTTTCTGTGATACAACTATTCATCCCGGTTTATTCGAAATCCCAATGGCTGCTATTATAGGTGATTTTTTTTTTCTTTTAGCTGAATAGGTAATTTATAATTCTTTGCTAATTCATGAATTTAAATTAATTAACAGATGATAAGGGTACTCCACATTTAATGGATCCACATCTCGATGGAACACCTGACGTAGTTAAGGGATGGTTACAGGACAATTTCCTACGTCATGCAAAACAAGGAAAAACACCCTTCGGTTTATTCCTTCATCCTGCTCATCTTAACCAACTTCCCGGTGTTCCATTGGCTCCTGGTGCCACAGATCCTGCTAAAAATCTTCAAATGCTTGAAGAATTTCTAGATTGGGCTGTTGCACAACCGGACACTTGGTTCGTAACGAGTCAACAATTGTTGGAATGGATGAAAAATCCAGTTCCAGCAGATCAACTTAAAGATTTCGCACCTTTCTCGTGTCAAGTTCCTAAAATTGGAAAAGAAATCTGCAATGGATTGGATGATGACGGAAACGGACAGGTTGACGAAGGACTTGTACAAAATTGTAATTTCAACACTGTAGTATGGAATACTTGTTACGGATGCCCTAGTGAAAATCCAAGTCTTGCCAATCCTGTTCCAAAAGGTGGTGACCGTTTCCGTGTTCCAACAACTTGTGATTCAGTTTGGTGGGATCCCATTGCTAATCAATGTCTCTGCCAAGATGCCAACTGTGCATACACTGACTTAAGTAAACCAGTGGGTAATGCTGGAGACAACAGTACTAATGCTGGTGGTTCTAATAAAGGTACTAATAATGGTCAACCTAATGAAAATAAAAAGAGTGGGGCAAGCTCAATAACTAGTTCGAATACAATGACTTTGATACCCGGCTTTATAATTGCATCTATATTTATGCAGTGGATCTTCTAAAAAAGAAACACTCTCCCAACAAACATTTTTTTTAAAAAATTATTAATTATAAAAGAAATATGTAATTGTAATTGTAGTTTTATTTTAGATAAGAATTATGATTTATTAATAATATCTATTTAATCTAATGCCATGTACTATGTTAAAATTTCTGTTCTAGAATTATAATCAAAATAAATAAATTAATTTATCCATCAAAAATCTGATGGTGAAAATCGGTTATGTTTACAATTTTACTATGGATGATTGTGAAATATTCCGTTTATGGAAACGGAATTTCAGATATTAATAACAGTTAGTGATAATCAACGCCTTTTACTTAACAAATATAAGTTGTGTACAAATAAGTACAACTAATACATAAATTAGCCAAGGATCAAGTTTATGTCGCAGAAGTTCTCATGACTAAATTCCGTAAATTCCGTATTTACAAAAATTTACATAATAACAACATAATTAAATTTTTAATTCTGTTACACTAAGTTTCATTTTGGTTTATTTTAAAGTTTTTTTGGTGGCTGCCTTTCTTTTTTCCAAATTTTCTTTAACGTTCGTAACAAATATTTTATTTATAATGACTGAAAAATCTGGATATACTGCTATTCCGCTTGAGGAGCCTCAAGTCCCTAGTGGTAAGTGACGTTAAAAGAGCAAGTGAAATAAGTTTAAACATTTGTAATTTATTTAATTTATTTATTTATTTTTAAAAAAAAAATTATTGTATCAAATATTATTACCCAAAAGAACGAGATTTACCTCCTTATAGTGAGAAACCCCATTACACACCTGCTTTTAATACACATGAATGTTGTTATCAACACCATCAGCAAAGAAGGAAGGCTTGGAGGAAAGCTTTAATTGCTGTATTAATTTTATTCTTGGGAGGAAGGTTTTTGTTTGCTGGGCTTTCTTACTTTATGATGAATAATGTATGTATATTATTTCATTTCATCAAATATATTAACTATGATGCATATTGCTTATATACAAATCTTCTAAAACAAATTGTCTGTACATATTATTTTAGAATTTCGATGATCAATACATTTTGATACAATTTCCTGGCTTGGGACCTCATCATGAACCAGAAATTGGATCACCTGAAGTGCCATATAATGCTCCACCAGTTCCTAGTCCCCCAGAATCTCCTGTTTGTGAACCTACAATAAAATGGAATGGCCCGAGTGAATTGTTATTGGATCCTCGTGATGTTACTGGTTTGGTCTTTAGTGTTAAAGGAATTTCAGTGGTAAATTATATTGAATTTTTTATTTACTATAAATATAATGATTAATAAGCTCTATTTATTTATTGAAGTTTTTTTTTTTTTTAGCATGGAAGCGTTATCATCCGTCAAGATACTCATTCTAAAGATCAAGCTTTTATCAATATTACAAATATAATTAAACTTTCTGAGGATTCTCTCCAAAAAGAAGTTGATATTAAAATTGATATTATCGATGATGACTATACTATTGTTGTTGAGGTACTTTAAAATTAAGAATATTTGAAGAAATACGTATATGTATGATTAATTTTTTCATAATTTTCACATATAATATAGGCACCATCATTTAACGGTCCTCGTCCCACACAAAAATGTGTTAAAGTTGATACTATCATAACCATTCCAAATAATACACATTTCTTTAGATCTCTTTTAGTAGATGTACCAAACAGCTGGATTTTGGCTGAAAATTTAGGTGGAGTTGATTTCGCTTACGTTAATTTTAAGACCAAAAATGGACACATTCGCGCTAAAGTAAGTAATTATATATATATATATTCATTTTGTTCGTGTTATAATAACCCGGTTGTTTTCTGTTTTAGGATATCAGTGCTAGTATTACCGAAATAACTACTGTTAATGGACATATTCAAGGTGGATATGTTGTTTCCGAAAGTTTGGACGTAAGTGAATTCAGTAAATTTTTGAATTATTTATTTAATGTCATTTTTACTTATCCATCTTTATCATTTAGGTTCGTACTGTAAATGGTGCCATTGAAATCAATGCCCTTGTCAACCCTTGGGCTGATAATGTATCGGTTACTGCCAAATCTATTAATGGCCATTTGGACATTTCAGTCGTATGTATTTAATTAATTTTTTTGAACATAGCTTTATATTATTTTATTAATGTATATACGCTTATATATAAATAATTTAATTAGAATGAATTGAAAGAAAAACAAATTCTCAATCTCAAAGCTGGATCTGTTAATGGTGGTGTCGTTGCAACTGTGGTATGTATTATATGCTAAATATTATTTATATTATGAAACATATTTCTAATTCAGCTTTTTTTTATGTTAGCCTGATACATACCATGGAGATTTCTCCGTTTCCACATTGATTGGATATTCCTACATTGAAGGTCAAGACATTACTTATATAAAGAAAACACGAAATGTCAAAGTTGGTTATAAAAATAAGAAAGATGACGATGACGACGATGATGATTTATATAAAAAGAAAATGAGAAAGATGCACAAGAGAACGATGAAGAAAACCAAAAAATGTCGTCATGGTCATAAAGGCCGTAAAGGACATGGTGATGATGAAAAGTCCTCACAAATTAATATTGAAGCAGTAACTGGAGCCGTTGAATTGTACTTTTTAGAGTCTTAAGGATGTAATGAATTGTTTTATGCAGGAATTTTCTTCTTTCATAAAAGAATATTGTAACATATTTTTGATATATTTTTTTGATGTTTAGTTTTATATATTTTTTCTTTCAGTGTAATACTTTTTTTTTATTACAATTATTATTTATTCACGTAAATTTTTGGTTGATTTTTATGCAAAAAAAAAATAAGGCCGGGAAAAACAAATTTCAATTTTAATAAAGTTAATAGTTATTAATTTAAACCAATTTTTTAAAAATGTATTTATTGAATAAAATTCACAATTAAATAAATTTGTTAATTTTTATCACTTTCATCACTTTCATCTGAAAAATCATCTAATTCATCCAAATCTTGAACGAGACTTAAGGGAGGTGCTTTACCACGTTCCAATTGGCGAAGATATGTTCTTCTCTTACGTTCCGGTAATGACTCTAACACCTTTTCCCGTTCTTGCTGTTCTTTCAATAACTCCTTATCACTTTTATTATTACTATACAAAGAAATAACAAGATTAACATTATAACAACTTTATTCTTATAATTAATTACCTAACTGACCTTGATACTATCTCTGCAGATTCTTGACATTTTGCGCATACTTTTTTATCTGTGGCACACTTGCTACATAAAATATGATAAGCTTCTTTCACAGCCTTTTCGTTACAATTTACACTAATATATAAAAATTCTATTAAATTAAATATTTCATCAACAAAGTTTTATTTTTTTGGAAATTTACCAACGTTTCAAGGTCGTCAAAGGTTTATACTTTTTATATTTCTTACGCCATTCAATAATTTCTTTGCATTTATGACAACTAAAAAAAAAGAAAAATACATATATATCTATTAAAAATTTAAAAAAGATTTTTTTTTTTTTTCTTTCTTACAGTCCATTTATAGGTAAAGAATTAATATATTTTGTCTTTTTTGAATTTTTATTCGATTGGAAAGAAAATGTATTTTGATGTTTTTGGCCACTTTTTTTTTTACTATTTGTTGATATTTTAGACATAATTCTTGTTTATAAAAAGCAAGTAAAAAAAAAAATCTATGTAAAAGATCATCAAAAATCGGAAAATTTTTCGTGATACTAATGCAGCATATAAAAAAGGATCGATAAAAAAAAAAAAATTTTTTCTCTGTTAATTTCAAATATGGTAATATATTTCTCTCTTTATCACTTTCTTATTTGACCAATTTATTTTAACTATACATTAGATTCGTAGGCAGACACGACTTCGTCGAGAATATTTATACAGAAAGTCTTTAGAGACCAAGGAAAAACAAATTTATGAAAGAAAACAAAAAATCAAAGAAGCTATTCGAGGTAACAAGTTACTTCATAATTATAATAAGTTATAATATACTTAGTTAATCGATCCAATTATATTTCATTAGAGGGAAAGCCTATACCGACTGAATTGCGTGCGGAAGCTACAAAGCTTCAAAAAGACTTAAATTTTGATGAAGCGCAACCTGGTACCTGGTACAATAACATATAATTGAAATTCAAATTCAACCATTTATCAATTTATTTATCTGTTTTCATTGTATTCATATATATATATATATATTATAATTTAAATATCACAAGAACCCACTACACATATCGACGATGAATACGCAAACGCTGGAATATATGATCCAAAAATTCTGATAACAACTTCACGTGATCCAAGTAGTAGACTTTCTCAATTTGCAAAGGTAATTTATAAAATATTATTATTATACTGAAGGTTATATTAAAGGTTCACATTTTTTACACTTGTTAAACAGGAAATGCGTTTAGTCTTTCCTAATTCACAACGTATAAATCGTGGTAGTTATGTAGTCAAAGATTTGGTTGATGCATGTAGAGCCAATGATGTCACTGATTTAATAATATTACACGAACATCGTGGTGAACCAGGTAAAATAAATACGCATTTATTTTATTTATTTTTCAAAAGAGATTGTTTCAAAAATTATACTAATATTCCCATTTCCAGATGGATTGATTGTATGTCATCTTCCCTATGGACCTACAGCTTTCTTTTCATTACATAATGTCGTACTTCGACATGATATTCAAGATGAAGGCACAGTTTCGGAAGCATTTCCACATCTAATATTTCATAATTTTAATTCCAATCTAGGCCGGCGGGTAAGGATATAATAAGTACGAGCACAAATAAATTATTATAACAAAACATAATAATTTTTCCATTCTGTAGGTGATGAGCATTATTAAATATTTGTTCCCAGTTCCTAGAGAAGATAGTAAGCGTGTAATGACCTTTGCAAATGATAGCGATTATATATCATTCCGGTAAATGGGAAAAGTTTTTACAATTTGATGTTTAAAACATTATCATAAATTCAAAAATTTTTTCCGTCTTTAGACACAGTGTGTATGTAAAAATAAATAATAAAGAAGTACAATTGGCCGAAGTTGGTCCACGTTTTGAAATGCGAGGTAGGTATTTTTGTTATCTTATTTTAGAATTTTAAATATCAACATTTCTTTTATTTTAGTTTACGAAATCAAGTTGGGAACCGTCGATTTGAAAGATGCTGATACCGAATGGGTGTTACGGCCTTATCAACGTACAGCAAGAAAACGGGATCACTTATAGAAATTTGTTATTTCTGCTCTTGAAAGTAATTGTTGATGATGTTACATAAAGAAGAACAATAAGCTTAAGAAAGAACAAATTAGGAGTTTATATAAAATTGAAAGATTGTTTCATAGTAGTATTTAATTATAAGATAATAGCTGTCTCAACATGTAATAATAAACTAATTAACCTATAACGTCGGTACTGGTATTAAAGTTCCATTATTATCATATTTTGCCTAAATAGGAGGATAAAATTATAATAGTTACATTCATGATTTAGTAAACAATTAAAAAATGATTCGATATATCTTATCTTACCTTGAAAAATGTATAAGATAATGTTATTGTATCAACATCTCTCATTGAAGGGTCCTCGGGAAATTCTGGATCTATGAAAAAGAAAACTGGCATATCTACAGCTTCTCCAGCTTGTAATTTTTGTTCTTCAAAACAAAAACATTGTATCTTATTAAAATATTGACCAGCTTTATTAGGAGTCACATTATAAGTTGCCAACCCAATAATATCTTGATCTGATTTATTTTTTGCTGTATAAAAAGCCAAAGCAGTTTCACCAGGTAAAACATAAACTTCACGCTGCTGAGGAATAAAACTCCAATCAAGAGCAAGTGAAGTATCTGCATTGAAATGTACTCTAATTCTACGTGATTCTTTTGCTGGTACAAGTCTTTCAGGACCGAACTTTGAACTATTTGTTATAGGAGTTCCACTAAATCCTGTTGTTTGACAAAACATTCGATACAAAGGGACTGAAGCATAAGTAAAACCTATGCCACAAATAAGTATAGCTGTCGTATACATGAGAAAAGATTTATTTCTATCTATACGTTTTTGATAAGGATTCAAGGGTTTACTACATGTATTAGAAGTAGTCGATTTTTGTATATTTGTACTAATGAATCGATTTGATCCATTTTTTATCAATAATTCTTGGATTGAAATTATAGATTTATTTGAAGTTAATTTACAAAAATTCTAAAATGAAAAATTTTGAATCATAAACTAATATATATTTTTTTAAAAAAAAGCTGAATATTTAAAGTCGCATACCGATATATAGAAACGAGGTATATTATAATAAAATCGAGGTTGTTGGACTTTAAAACACCATAACTTCATTATCTAGTTTGTCTTTCGTGTTGGGTGGGGAGTAATTAATCGTATCAATAGAACTTCCGTTCGAAAATCAGAAATTATTTTTTTTTTAGTTTAGTAATTATTAAATTAATAGTTGATCAATTTTATGAAATATCCTAATCCGAACAGAAATTTACTAAAAATCGCACGATTTATAAAGACTAAGAAGATTATAAGGCAGGATCTTAGGATCTGCAAATCAAATCTAAAATTTTAATATACGGTGTGTTACTGATACGCAAGTTAGAAAAGATATAAAAGCTTCAAAGATTTCCCTCTCTTCACAAAAAAAAAAAAATATTATCATCGAGTCGTTAATTATGGCATTCCGTTTATTAACTCCGAAGAATAATAATTTAATATCGGCTAAACTTTTATCAATAACTCAAGTTCGCGAGTTAGCTACGGCAACACCAACTTATACAAGACCACTTTCAGCAGCTGGATTATTCGCTTCTGGACATATGAGAAATGATTGGACCAGAAAAGAAATAAAATCAATTTATGATTCACCTATGATGGATCTTTTATATTTTGGTGTAAGTTAAAAATAATAAAAATCTTGTGACAGAATTCCGCGGAATTTCTCGTGAATTTCGGAATTTCCGCAAGGATTGATGTCCAAAAAATTTAAATAAAGAAATTTAACATAATTTTAAATAAAAGGCAAAAGTACACCGCGAGAATTTTGATCCGCTCGCCGTACAACAATGTACCTTATTAAGTATAAAAACAGGAGGATGTTCAGAAGATTGTGCTTATTGTCCACAATCTTCAAAATATAAAACTCTGGTAAAAGCAACGAAGTTATTAGACAATGATGAAGTACTTGTAGCTGCCAGGAAAGCAAAAGAAGCCGGTAGTACTAGGTAACTTTAGTGATGCATTTTTCTTAATATGAGTTGTTAGAATGTATGACATTTATTGAAATTTAATTTCCATACACGGACTGAATAGATTTTGCATGGGAGCCGCGTGGAGAGATCTTCATGGTAGAAAAAGCAATTTCAACAAAATCATAGGTTACGTAAAAGAGATCAGGTACATTAAAAAAATGTTAAATCGCGTAAATTTTTAACTTCATGAATATTATTATGTAATTAAAAAATGTTGAAATTTTCCGTTTTATGTAATAGATCTATGGGCATGGAAGTTTGTTGTACATTAGGAATGTTAAATGAATCGCAAGCAAAAGCATTAAAAGAAGCTGGTTTAACGGCTTATAATCATAATTTGGATACTTCACGGGAGTATTATCCAAAAATAATTACCACAAGATCATATGATGAACGTCTTGAAACAATTTCAAATGTTCGTGAGGCTGGTATATCTGTATGTTCCGGTGGTATTATTGGATTAGGTGAAACTCCTGAGGATCGTGTTGGGATGTTACATACTTTAGCAACAATGCCACAACATCCTGAAAGTGTTCCTATTAATGCTCTTGTACAAGTTGAAGGTACACCCTTGGAGAAACAAGAAGTAATATATATATGAGTTTCCTATATTCAAATTAACGATTTTATTTTTATTTTTATTTTTATTTTTTTGACAAATTAAATATTTGATAATTTTTAGCCTGTATCAATTTGGGAAATGGTTCGTATGATTTCAACAGCTCGTATAGTCATGCCAAAGTCAATGGTTAGATTATCAGCTGGTCGTGTACGATTTTCTCAACCTGAACAAGTAACTATTTTAAATTATTTATGAACTATACATAATACTTGCTTTTTAATATTAAATATTGCTTTTTATTATGATTATTTTCATTTTTAATAGGCTTTGTGTTTCTTTGCTGGTGCAAATTCTATTTTTACTGGTGATAAATTATTAACAACCGATAATAATGATTTTAATTCTGATCAAGAAATGTTTAAAACATTAGGTAAATAAATTGTTATAATTATTTTATTTTTATTGAATTCATATTAATTGAGATTTTCTTCACATTTAAAGGTCTTATTCCTAAACCTCCGAATTTTGATCAAGGTACTTCACCTTCTAATAAAATTAATGAAGTTCAAGAAAAACAAACACAAAATATTTTGTAACTTTATATAAATGTAGCATTATTTATTATCAATTATCATTATCTTAAAATGTATAAAATTGATTTATTTTATTTTAAAAAAAAATTTAATTGGTAATTTTTTTAATGATGAACTATAAAAATAAATAGGTAATAATAATATTAATTTTCTTTATACAAATGTTAAATATAAATATGACTGAGCCATTTAATTTTGATAAATTTGCATGTTCATTTAAGGATTGCTTTTTATTAAACTTCAATATGAAGTATACAATTATGCAATTATGTTATTAATAAATGTGAATTCTCTACAGACTCACTAATTGAAATTACAAAAATCGAAATAAATCATGCTTGACTATAGATTCAGATTCTTTCAATAGTAACTATAGTAACTCTAAATATTATATATTCATGTTATTTACGTAACCGATTCACATACTGATAAAAAAATTTGTTTCGACACTTCTTGAGCTGGAGAAACGGGATAAATTATATTTATTTAATATATTTTTTTTTTTTGAATGTACAATATATTTATAATATATTAAGGTAGAACAATATCTCACTGAATCTGAATGGCCGGATAAAATTCTTTGTAAGAGACTAATTGTGCTAGAGTAATGATTTTCTATTAAATAAGCCCATTGAAAATTTATTATACAATTTGTGATTTTAAAACGTAACTCTTTATTATATTATTATAACATTAGCTTGCCCAATTAATACTTACCTATTATATTTACAAGAACCAACGATTTAAAGACTAATCTTACCTTAAACTTTTGTATTTGGTCGGGTAAAAAGAAAAATTTTGAATTGTAACGACACAAGCTTGCCTTTTATAATCTCGAATTTATCGTATATCCTTTTTTCTTTACCCTAACCATCTTCCATTAGTTTGTTTGTGACTGACTCGTGTTGGAATAACCGATTCATTAATTTCATATACTTCAATAAGTTCCTTTTAAAATAAATTATATTATTAAGGAAAGGTGACTATATTTCAATAGAATATAATTAATATGAAATTATAAATTTAATTACCTGCCACATGTTCATATCAATTTCCATTACTAACTGCTTTTTGATCAAACCTTCCGCGTAATTCTCAGAGGTCGGTGGTTGACATAACACTAATTAATTTATATATAACAGTCGAATTAAATATTCAGTTAATAAAAAAAACTTTAAAATTACTATACTTACTAAGTATCGGTTGTCCGGAATCATCGTCTATGCTTACTTTACCATCACGTATCAAAAACGATAAATAAAATAGATTCTCGACAGTTTGACCAAATGATTCAGGATTAATGATAAATTCAAAGAAATTTATCGGTTGGTTTTCTCCTAAAATGTCAAAAACCATTTTAACATTTCTTGTCGTCTCATTTTCCTGCCTTTCGATGTCTTTTTCTTTTAACTATTTGAAATAATAACATTAAATAAAGTTGTTATAAAAATAAAAAGGCTTTCCTTAAATCATGACTGTCTACCTGTTCAGGCTCTTTCAAGGAATTTTTATCTTTATTCAAGGAATGTCGTATTTTTTTTTCGCGTTCTTTTGTTTCAATAGAAAGAGGTCCGAGCCTATACAAATAACAAAATTGTTCGATATTTTATTTTTATTAAGTCGTCTTAGATATCGCAATTTACTCACATAAAGTCACTTGTCGGTACTCGATTTGTAAATCGAGAGGCTAATCTTCCAACAGCTTCCCAATTCAATTCCAAGTGCTCATCACTATCATTATCCATTTGTCTGCCTCCCATAAATGTAATTAATTTTGATATATAACTATCAATGTCAAAAGAATTATTGTCTAATTTCATACGACGAGCTCTTTGAACTCCCAGATTACAAGTCAATACTAAAAGACGCGCATCAAGAGTTGCTTCGTGCGTATTCTTTACTATTTCATTTGAAAGATTTTGTTAATATATCATAAAACATAATAGAGGTTACATATACATTTACACTATTATATACCTTTTCTATTTAAGCTGTTTGCTTTCCTAATATTTTGTATAAGACCTTCCGATTCAGGTCTTAAGTATTCAAGTCTATTCTCTATAAATAAAATAATAAAAATCACATGTATATTACATTTATTTAATTAGACATGAGAAATATAAAAAGCGCGATATATCATTGATTACTATCTTATTTTTGAGTCGATGCACAATTTATGTAGTTTACCTTCCGTAGTATTTATAAGATTTCTGTACTCCTTTCGTAACCAACGTTTCTCGTCTTTACTCTGATCCGGGTTATATGTTTTACACCCAAGAATTTCATCGATTTTTGCAGAATATACAATTGAATCGTCACTCTCTTGTTCTTCGTATCGGTCGTCCATAGCGTTTTCTTTATCAGAATCATTAAACTTAGTTTGTAGATCTGAAGTAGACATTTCAAATATATTTTGCTGACGGGTAAAAGTTTAAAAGGTTAGTCAAAGTTTTAACGCGTAAATATGAGTATATTATGAGTATATTATGAGGTATATTATGAGTATAAAAGAACCGAAAAAAAACTACCAAGTTCTAAAATTACGCGTATAGTAAAAAAAAGAAACAGGTTTCGTACAAACTTGTGAAAGGTGAGAGACAAACAATTGTGCACAAATTCAGCTAAAGATTCCCAAATCAATTTTTGATGTTTAAGTAATTACTATTGTCATTTAGATTTCTAAATTGGGACTAAATTTGGAATGGACTACTAAAAGCGAATCTGCGGGATAACCAACTCCGAAAAATGAATGTGATTTTTATTTGTTCCCATTTATGGTTCTTAATATACATTTTACAAGAAGTTTCCGTCCTGTGCCACAGCTTGACCAGAAAAACACGTTTATATGCTGATTATTTAATCATTTCGCGTTATTTGAATGATTAACGGCTAACTGAAATTAAAAATTTGGCGGATTTAAATAATTTTATTATCTTGAAAGATGACGTAAGTACAAATGTGTACAGGTTGTCAGGTTGCAAAACAATCATGTGAGACTAATCACCTGATAAGCAGTGTGAAAAAAGTAACATTTACTGCCGCAGACGCTTTGGGGTGCAATTAACCATAACAATTCTGTATATAGCCGACCATTTATAATGACTCGCCATCACCGACTTCCGATAGAACAAGCGCTTTAACGAATTGCTGATACATCCATGACAAGAAAAATCTTGATTGAAATAAAGGTTAACGGTTAGATGATTATTCTCTTACGTTTTAACCTTGCTCACGTGAATCCTGAAGACTTTTAATAAAAAAAGACACAAGTTTTATTAGATATTTTGATCTTTAAATTCTAAAGTACTCCCTAATAAAATTAAGAAATCTCAGAGATCTTGTATATTATGTTAAAATGGTAATGGAAGAATGTCCTAGTAAAATTTCGTGTCGAATGGTCGGGGTGTAATATAACACATATTTTAAGTTAAATATGAATAAGGGGGAACAGTGCCAACGCGGCTATATTTTTATTTTTTATTTTTATTTTTACAAAATTTCACCGAGTTACAGTAAAAATCACCGAGCCCTACCGATAATTACATAATCACGTGATCACATGCCGCTACTGCGCCTCTCTAGATACTACATGAATTAAGCTAGAAATGACAATTTTACGAATGATGTTACGCGATAACCTCAAAGAACTAAACCCGGAGTCTAGTGGCCTTTTACAGAAGATTTGCCTACTCACACACCTCACGGGAATAAGCTGAAGAAAAATTACGAGAGTTTACTTGCAACAGCATTAATCGAAAGAAGGTGAACTGATGTCGGTTCTTAATTATTAGTTCTATAGTCGTGGACAGTCAATTAGTTATGAGAGGAATTGGTTATAGAAGCCTCACACTGCAGGACATGTTTAGATTTTGTCGTTGCTATAAGTAATAGATCTCGGCTAATAACATGATTTCGCCTTTATAATCGGCACACGAAGTCGCAGGACGAATTTTAGTGTACAATACAATTAAAAACTTCCCAGAAAAATCAACGATGAGGAAGAAGCTCTAAGTGAATTTCAACCGCCATCGAACAGAGTCAAGAATGATGAACCCCATTGTGCGCAGTAAATTAACTTTCTTCTCAACACCTAGATCTCAGCTCTCCGGGCAAATCAAGATCACGATGATGAAAGTGATAACGAAAGTATTAAAAGTCCAAGAATGATTTATCACTTCACGACGAGTTTGTAAAAGAGATGTGTTTAACTAATGAAACCGAAGAAGACTTAGAATCTGAACCAGAATGCTGACGACTATGTTGAATCTTCGTCCTGAGACATTTCTGGTAATGATGATACTGTTATGGAAGATAGTAAGTTGAAGTCAAAAGTGGATTTGTCAAATTTCGGAAAGATAAAATGGATGACTTAGAAAATGGACTCGTTCTACTGAAAAAAATGGTAGAAGATGCACTCTACAATTTTTGTATTAAATGTAGGCATGAATAGCAAATATCCTTTATGTATTGAACAAAGCTCAGGCTCTATTACCTATTTTGCGACTTTCAGAAGCCTATGTCATTCATTTGTTTTAGATCCAAATGATAAAATTTACGTCAATGAAGAAGTTTTCACTGAGTCTGAACTTGATGAAATTCGAGAATATAAGCCTAAGCCAATGCCAGAAACTTATTAACGTGTCTTAACAGTTTTCGAGTGGCAGGTATTTTTATATATCTTGTTGGTAATACTATTATGATCGTAATACTTACCTTGTACATCCTGTTATAGTTTGACATCCGGGAACTCAGAAAAGCTATATTTAAATCTCAGCAGTGAGATTCTTCATACAATCGACAAACACATTTTGATCACAATTGGATTCGAATAGTGTGTACTGATAGTAAATTATTCTCTTTTCATTCCTGGATTGTAAGTTACTATCTTGATTCACAGATTAATGAATATGAAGTAGAAAGTTTAAAGAAGGATCATCTGGAATTGTGGCTCCTAAATTCATTTTGGAATTTTATAGACAGAGGATTTGGGAATGTTGATGGAGTGAAGTTACATTTTTTTTAAAAATCGCCATCGAATTGTATCTGCAATTGTCTCAGTGAAGAGAAAGATTATGGGAAGACGTGGAGATCTCACCATTCAAAAGGTTTCTACTGAGTATAGATGTTCAGAAACTGGTAAATCTTTTAAAAGGTGAAAATGGGACAAAACTTCTGCATGAAAGATACTTTATTCTCCGTGTGAAGCTGTTGGGATGGAAGAGAAAAAAATAAGGAACTTACGGTTTATACACTCGGGTAGGTTTGATGATATTGTATATTGTTTAGTTTAGTGAATTATTTTATCATTTCTCTGTGAATGAAATTTAGGTCTAATGATATTATAACTTAGATTGGATTCCCCTGCTGGTTATTTATGTAATTATGTCGAATAACTTGAACAAAAATGCCAAGAACAAGTCTAAAGTAATTCCAAAAAGTAGTTTTTCTTATTTTTAATCACTATGAATTTCAACATAGTATTGCCTCATAATCATATACCGTACCTGGAAGTACTTTGATCTTTTTACATTACAACTGACATTAAATTCACTAGTTACTGCGCTATTAAATTCTATTCATATCACTAGATTACCTTATAATATACTAGTTCAACGACAAATAAAATTTTTCTTAACGAATTTTGACAATTCGTAACGTACACGTGGTAATTATATAAGAATCAAAGAGACGATCTTGTAGTTTTTAGGCCGAATGTGTAGCTGTATTTCAGCTAAATTAAGCGGGTTAACCATCCACGGTATAAATAATAGTAGATTAATAAGACTTTATTTGAGAATATATACAGTATAAAACACGCATACACGTTTAAATTGCTCTTTTATTATATTTTTTGTAAAGTTGTACATGAAAAGAAGCCGGCTGGCCTTTTCTCGTATTACTTCACGAAAAAATATAAACTGTATCTGCATTTTACAATTGATATAAATATTAATCCATCTGCTTTTGTAATCTACTGCGCCTATAATACGTACAGGAATGACAATTTTTCGGAAAAAGCTAATATGTTTCCAGCACATCCTCGCTACAATCTTGAAACATATTTGAATCATGATATTCTATTGTATAAATCGATAAAATACTTCATAAAACAAAACCACTTAAACACTCAAATACAATACATTGTAAGGATGGTTAAAACCTGTATGAAATTCTCCCAATTGTGATATAGACCCTAAAGAAGTACAAGCGCTAATGCGTCTGCATTACAAACACGATTATGAAACACCAGAAATGTGGTGCTCTCGTATTCGAGCCCCATTTAAAAAGTTTCTTAAAGACAATCCAAAGTACTTTTTTTATATCCGGTTGGTAGGAAATATATATGTAGAATGGGAAATTTTATGGCGGTCATAATAGTAAAATCAGGGAAAGGAAATTTGAAGCTTATCTTACAGTAATTCTGTACTTGTAAGCTCTAAAAGTACAAGCTCACTAACAACAAAAAAGCTCCTCTGCTACGCCATCTGGAATAACGTTATATACCGGAATGCATATCCAAAGGAAGGAAGTGAAATGAAAGCCAAAGGTGGTCTTGTAGAAAATCAAATCCAACAGTAAGAGTGCATGCTCCGCTTCCCTACATCATAATTCAAATTACAAAGGAATCCCAGAAAATCGAAAAATTTTGTGTCGGATCAAAATGAAAACTGAAGAATACAAACACTATTATGAAAATTTTGTAAGAGGTTCAAGTAAGGAAAGGGAAAATTTTTTGGGACCAACAAAGAATCATCCAAAGAGAAAGGATCCAAGGACCAAAAAAAATCAAATTCGGCATTCAAACTAAAAACATAAAGGAATTTAAAGAGAATTCTAATATCTGGTATTCTGGTAATGAAAGTCAAATAAAGTTCTGTTTACATCACATGTATCTTTCAACTTAGTGTAAGCGCGTGTAATCACATCAAAAAACATTATAAATCATAAAATCCCAGTTTCCTTTCGTTCAACACTGTTGGGTTATACTTTGATACATTTAGAAAATTTTTCACATTATGTTGATCTTATTTTCATGAAAGGTCAAATGCAAGAAATATGGTAATTTTAATTACAGATTCATAAGGGAAGAACTTCATTCTAACATTGAACCATGTGAGGTTTTGACACCGCCACATTCGTCATATGGCCTACAAAAATGAGGTGAGAAATATAACCTATAAATAACCTATTTACTATTAAGTATTTATTGAGATACACGAAATTGTGATGTTAAAATTGTTGAAACGATCAACATGGACGATCAGATCATATTGTTTATGAAAATCACGAGAGAAGGCTTTTTAACAGGAAATCTCCTGAGCAAATGTTTCTGTAGATTCTGTAGAGAAAGGTTTAAATATAGTAACAACAGCTCTTTTTTTAGGTTAGCGCACAGAACTTTCCAGTAAACATTAAAATCATATAAACAAAGTGTTAAATAAAGAAATTTTCATAGTAATTGTTTATTCTATTTTTAACATAAAATTAAAACTTAATATAATAATTATTTTCTCCCACTTATTATTATTATTTATTACGATGATAAAAATCATATAAATAAGTACTCCCATCCTGAATTTTAATTTAAGAGAAAAAAAAATCTTTTTAAAAAAAAAAATGAAAAAGGGGACAATTTTTGTATCTTTATTGTTGCTTTTATTAAGTATAGTAAGAGCACAAGACGGTGCTCCTACTGCTGGAACGCCTACACCAACAGCTTCGCCCGCACCCAATGGAATAGAAACATGTTTAGAAATCAGTCAATGCGGAGATGATCAAGCTTGCCGTGCGAAATGTGCAGGTGTACCAAATCCTACTGAACAACAAGTTAATGATACAATAGCATGTATAGGAAAGTGTAATCCAGGTTAGTATTTTACTGAATTTTTTTTTTTAAAAAAAAGATGGGATAATAACATTTGTTTAATTCTCTCCTTTCTATAAATTAGCGGATCCAAATTACGCAGCTTGCAGAGATTCATGTATTGATACTTATTATAACCCGAAACCAACATTTACCTCTTCAACTATCCCTCCTTCAACTATCCCTCCTTCAACTATCCCTCCTTCAACTATCCCTCCTTCAGTATCTACCGCATCCACTTCAGCCGCATCCTCGAATAAAGCATCACCTACTCCAATTTCTAGTGTTGCCGTTAAAACAACATCGTTTTCTACATTGTTGTTAACTTTCATAATTTTTATGACAAGTGTTTGTTTTTCATTAGATAAATAATATTTTATTTAATATAATTCTAGAATAAAAATTATTTAATTACTTATTTTGTCAATCTTCTAATAAAATAACATTTTTATACTATAATTTTAAACCGAAAAAGGGTTAAAATGATACTATTTTAAATTTTGATTAGATTACATGATGCGCAGTATTGATAAAATTGCAATAATATGAATCATATTTTGACAGTTAATTTATAAAAAATCAACTATGTTATAATCAACATCTGTAGTAGTAAAAATCCAAAGAAAATTTTGAATTAATGCCTTTTTCAACTCATTAAAATAATAAATCCAATTCAGGCTGACCAGCCGGTTGGAAAGACAACGCGAAAATCGCTGAAATGAATGAAAGGGCAATTGCTAATAAGATTAATGGAATCCAGGTTTGATCAAAGAATATGATGGAAAGAATCCAACAAACTGACACGATGAAGAAAATCCAAGCGAGAATTGCGGAAGTCTGAGAAGAAAAATTGAGGTTAACTTAAAAGGAAATGTCTAAATAAGATACGAAATTTCAACCGACTTCTACTTACTGTAGTCGCACCATATCCTGTTTGAGTCGCCTAAATTTAATTTAAAATTATTGTTAAAAGCATTAGTCTATTTACGATAAATAAACACTTACGAGCGTAGCAATCACAATCATCAACAACGAATCTTTAGCAGCATTTGTAACTTTTGTGTAAAGGTTATCCTAAAAGAAATAATATTAAAAATCATCAGAACTTTATTATGGTTTTTTTTTGTTTTTCTCTTTTGTAAATGTTTTTACCACTCTATTGGCGATGATTGGCACTTCAATGGTTTCAGGGATTCCATCTTGCTGGGGAGGAGAAACTTCATTAATCAATCCAGGTAATGACAGCGGTCTTCTTCTGCGTGCAAATTCGGAAACAAATAGACAAGTTGCCCAGATTATCAAATGAAAGAAAATCGCAATATAAGTTCCTAAAATTAATTAAAGAATGAGAAAATCTTTTATAAAAAATAAAATTTTTGGGTATCATATTTACCAATAAGACAGTTATTATTTAAGCCTTCTTTATCGATAAAAGTTTCCATATTTTTTTATGAAATTCGAAATTAGGAAATTAGGAAAAATTTTGATTTTAAGAAAGAAACGAAGGACAATGAGAGTTTTTTTTAACAAATAATTTTTTTTAACTATTAAATCCTACGAATTAAACTTTTAATTTATTCATCATACTTTGATGGGGACGATGGGAAATGAATCAGACTAGATTAGCATTGTAATCAAAAATCATATGATAGATATATGGTCTAAAAACAAATTAATTTTTTTTTACCATATAAGGATTATTTAATTATTTTATTTGTTTTTTGGAATGAAAAGCTTCATTTAATTCAAAAGAATGTTAAATAATTATTAATTTTCATTCTATATTAAGAAAACAATGAAATATAAAATTTGCGATTGGTTTCTATTATTATGATTTCTTATAATTATAACAATGATCAAATAAGGTTGATCTAATAATGATCTACGATTTATAAGTAATACATTTGGCGTTATAATAACTTGATGTTCTTAAAAGAATTTTCAGTTTTAAATTGGGTAATACAAAATTACGATTAATACAATGCAATGTAATAAATAAATTACGAAATTTCAGATATAATGAGATTACTAAGTACGTCATGTACCGGCCCATATTTAAACCGCGGTGTGAGAACAAAAAAAAAATAACACTATAAAGAAACTAATTTTATATAAATATTGGTCATTTAGAATATTCTTATTTTTCATCCCTCAAAATTTTTTTTTCTTTTTATTACTAAAGATGAAATTTATAATGTATATAACGTTAACGATTGTCGTAGTATCGTTGGCAACATTTAAAATTAATGCTGCACCAATATCATCTCCTTCGGATGAATTTTTATTAAATACAATTTCCTTACTTTGTTTGGTTAACAGAGAACGTGCAAACGCTAATGTTAGACCCTTGGCTTTGGATAAGTGAGTATAGTGAGTGATATTTACATAATACATATATATTTTGACATATACTATACTATATTAACGAAAAAATAGGCGATTAGTGAAAGCAGCACAGCTTCATACAAATTATATGGCTTTAACCAAAAATTTAACGCATGATGATGTATCTGGATCATTAGGTACTCGAATAAGTAATCAAGGATTTGATTGGTGGATGGCCGGTGAAAATATTGCGTATGGCTTTACAGAGAAAGAAGAATCTAGAGTCATAAGAGCGTGAGCACTAATTAATAGAATGTCTTTTTTTTTAAAAAAAAAAACGAGCAAACCGTATTTATATATACGTATAATTTCTGTAGTTGGATGAATTCACGAGGTCATCGAGCAAATATATTAAATAGAAAATTTACACATTTCGGCTCTGGCTTTAGGAATAATTATTGGACTCAAAATTTCGCTCAATCTGCTGATGAATATCTGCTAGATGTTCCCATATGTCCTACAAAATCTATAAGAATAACTATGCAAATATAGCACAGAAAATGGTTATGAATAAAAATTCCTTTTTTACTATGATAATTTTTATAATAAATTTCATTATGAATCACGATGAATCACGTGTAAATTGGTTGTCATATCTTAAAATGATTGGATAAACTTACTAAATATAATTTTAAATCTTTCGCTCATAAAACCTTATTTATTTTTCTTTCAAAATAGTATTGTTAATTATTTGTTATTTAAAATCATGGCGAATAGAACAGTATCCGATGCAATAGCTGTACATGGAACAAATCCACAATATCTCATAGAAAAAATAATGAGAACAAGGATTTATGAATCACTTTATTGGAAAGAATTCTGTTTCGGTTTGACTGGTATGAATATTGTAAATTAGATTTTAACCTCAATCTGAAACAATAATAATATAAAAAAAAAGAAGTTAAAATTACTTTATTTATTAGCCGAGACGTTAATTGATAGAGCAATAGAATTGACATCATTTGGAGGTGAATATGGAAATCAAAAGCCCACAGAATTTCTTTGTTTGACGTTGAAATTACTTCAATTACAACCAAACAAAGATATTGTTATGGAATTTATTAGAAATGAGGATTATAAATATTTAAGGGTACTTGGAGCATTTTATTTGAGACTAGTGGGAAATTCATTAGAGATTTATCAAACTCTTGAACCATTACTTAATGATTATAGAAAATTAAGAAAAAGAACAAGCGGTATGTAACATATTATGGTAATAATATAAATAATATAATTATTATTAATAATTTAATTAATATAGAAGGAGATTTTGAAATTGTATGTGTTGATGAGTTTATTGAAGAATTGTTGAAAGAAGAAAGAGTATGTGATACTATATTGCCAAGAATGTTAAAGAGACATGTATTAGAAGAAAACGGAGAATTACCACTACGTGAAAGTGTTTTGCAAGGACTTGCAGACGAGGAAGAAAAATCTTCTGATACAAAGGATGAAGAACAAGAAGAAGAACAAAAGGAAAAACAGGAACAAGAAGGAGAGGAAGAAGAGGAGGAAGGGGAAGTGAAGTCAAGAAGTAGTAAAAGTAGAGAAAGAAGTAAAAGTGGAGAAAGAAGTAAGAGCGGAGAAAGAAGTAAGAGCGGAGAAAGAAGTAAGAGCGGAGAAAGAAGTAAGAGCGGAGAAAGAAGTAAGAGCGGAGAAAGAAGTAAGAGCGGAGAAAGAAGTAAGAGTGGAGAAAGAAGTAAGAGAGATAGAAGTTCAAGTAAAAATAGAAATAGTAAAAGCGGTGGTAGAAGGATTAGAAGTTACAGTAGATCTAGATCTCCCCCACCAAGAAAATCCAGAAGTAGAAGCAGGTCAAGGTCTCCTAGAAGAAGAGGTGGAGACTGGAGAGCTGATAGATGTAAGTAATATTCTAAGCTGCTAAATTTGTCAAATTATTAATATTAATTAATTTACTTTTCTTCATATAGATGTACCAAATAGTAGTCGAAATAGCAGAAGGCGTAGACGTGTGTCATATTCACGTTCCAGATCACGATCAAGATCAAGAAGTTACGATCGATACGAACCAAGTTATCGTAGAGGTAAATCATTCTCTTCTTCCTCATATCGACCTTCGCGCCATAGGTCTTATTCAAGAAGTCGTAGCAGATAAGTAATATTTTATTAAGAGTGTAAAGTAATAATAAATAAAAACTATATCAGTAAATAAAAAAAAATATTATTGTATCAAATAGTATATATATATATATATTAATTTACATTTTATTTTAAGATATATAAATATATATATACACACATATATGTATCATTATACAATACGATTATACAAATTATTAAATTTGATCTTGACTGGTTAGACGAATGATTAGATCAGCTAGTGGTTGTAATTCTTTTTTTTCAATTAATTGAAATTCTTGTACAAAGTAAATATAATGTTTAAAACTAGTATTCAAATGAGCTTCTTCTCCTAATGCAACTATAACTGAAAAATGTGATAAATAAATATGCGCGTACACTCTAAATAACCGTTTGAATATTGTTTTTACTACTTGTTCAAAATTCTTTGGAAATGGAACTCTAATTTTACTCGGAAATATTGTTTCGTCATCTAATTGATTTTGTACCCATTCCATTAAATGGTCAACATATTCTGGTGCTGATAATTTAGTTGGTTTCTTAAATTTCTCTCCATCTGACCAATGATATTCAACTTGTGGTCCAGCTGACATTACTGGACATTCTTGTGGCGTACAAAATTCCGTAATCGTACCGTAAAGCATATTTATTTGATTGAAAAAATCGTATGCTATAATAAATAGAATGAATTAGTTACTATTCGAAATACTTGATCGATTCTTCTTTCTTATACTCACTGTTCACAGCCAACCATTCATTAAGATCTTCGCCTTCGGGCAAGACTACTGCCAGTTTCAAGTTACCTGAACCAAGCGTAGCTTCCGCAAATTGTTTAAGTTGATATTGTTTTGTACCTTCCGGCACTTTCTTTTTTGGTTTGAACGTTTTATTCTTGCTTGTTCTAAATTTACGTAAATAGAATTTTAACAAATGATCATGTTACGAATATATATACTTCCCAAGGGATTTCAAGTTTAAACCATTACGTCATGAACTAGTTACGCCTTCAAGTTTTATTTCATATATATATATACGTATTACGGTCAGAGAAAGAAGAAAGCATTCCTCTGGGAAGTACATATTGTACGTAATTTTAAAAACAAAGACGAGTGAATAAATACTTACAATCCTAGAAAATTCATTATAAACGATCGAAGAAATTTCTTTTTGATTCTCTAAGAATAAATATATAGGGGTATATATCCAACACTCAAATTCTGTTGATCCGTTCTAAAATTCGACAGTTGGGAAGTTGTGAAACTCAATAACTATAAAAGTTATTACCCGCGTGTTTTTTTAATTTCGTTTATATTAAAAACAAAAAACAACAAAAAAAAAAAAAAAAAAATGCTATTCAAAAGAGTATTTAATTTTATAAGTTCGCGTCAGTACGCGTGCTTATCTTTGAAATCTGCTCCTCAGCGTCGTTCTCTTGTATTCATAGCATTTTCTAGTTTGTGTGCTTTAGGCATATTTATTTTGTTATGTTTTGGCTCCTTAGATTTAGATTTCGATTTTAGTGTTCCAGTTTTAGATAGTAAAAACACAGAAGGAATTTTACACTCGAAAGTAGATGTTTGTAAATTCGACTATTCTTCAATTAAAGAAATAGCACGAGATAGAAGCAAACCATACGTTTCTTTTATTGTTGATAATGAACTTATTATCAAAAACAAAAAAATAGGTATTTTTTATATATGAGTGGTGTGGTATGTTTAACATCTTCACTTTATTAATTGATTTTTTTTACTTGCTTTAGAATTAGAAAATATTTTTACTGGAAAACAAATTTGTATAATAGTTGTGGTAATTATAATTATAAGATATATATAAAATTATGTTTTTTTTTTAAAAAAAAAATTTCAATTTTAATTGTTATTATTGTTATTTTATTTTAGATACCAGATTCAATAATAAATAAATCAAAGAAGGATAATTTTAGTAATAAAAATATATACGTTAGAGCTTTAAGTAATAATGTATTTAGAATTATTCCAGTGGTTTCGGTACCAAATTATGAGAATTTGTATAAAGGAATTGGATTTTTCTATTATCCCGATGATTATTCATTAAGTATTACTATAGGATTACCAGGACGAAAGGATATTATAATAACGTCAGAAAATGTATTAAGCTTATCGTTGAGTGATGAAGCGCATCTTAAAGAACCTAATGAATTACTTCCCATTTGTAATGCCACATCAGAAATTACTGGTCAATGGGTTTCCGGTTACTTTTACGATTCTTTACGTCCTCTTACACGCCATTCAGAATTTTTAGATATAGATAATGATTATATATTTATACCTGACCAGTGCAGAATGAAACTTATAACACCAGTAGAGCAATTATTATTATTGGAAAAAAAAACCATTCATGCTTATGGAGATACATTTCTTTGGGGGTGAGAAAAAATTCTTTTTATTGAATATATAAATATAATGTTGTTGTAAAAGAGTAAAGAAAATACAATCTAATTGATTTTATTTATATTATTAGGTCCTTGTATGGTATAGAAACAGGATATAAACAAAGTTGGTGTGAAGAAAAAGAACCAAAGGTTCCGCTTTGTTCATGTAATTTTCCTAGACCCTCATTACCAAGAGATACACAATTTGTCATTGCAAATAGTTCAATATTTGAAAGTTCATTATTCTTTCATCCTATTAATGATTTATTAGAAAAAAAGATTTCATGGAAAGTAGCATTAAAACAAACTTCACGAATTCCAAAAGCGGATATTGTGATAATCTCTGTATCAAATAATATTTTCATGGATTCTTCTAAATCTTTACGAGATTTCAAAACAAAATTAAAAGGGCTACTTTCTAATATTAAAGAAAAATATCCGAATTCTGATATTTTTGTTAGAACACCCGAGCCCTTTACTCTTTCACAACATATTCTGGACATTTCTAGAATACGTTATTTACAAACTCGAGATGTTACAATTAATGTTGTAAAAGAAGTTGGGTTATATTTATGGGATGTTGGAATACTTGATGGAAAAGATTGGTTTATGCCTGATCAATGCGTAAAAAAATCAAAAACGCAATTATGGTTTAAAAGAGATGTTGTGAAATTAGAATCGCAATTACTCTTTCATTCTTATTATAATCTTAATTAACATTAACATAATGAATATTTATGATTTAAACTGGTATATCGATACTTAGTACCTTAACCTAACCCCTCTTATCCTAAATTTACGTAACTAGGTATGACATACTGTATAATAGGATTTTTACATAAAATGTAAAATGGAGGGATGTGATAAATTGTAAGATATTGATATATCTTGGTGTATTTCTTTATTCACTATTTATTCACTAGAACATATTTTAACATCACTCATTTACATCGTTCGAAAACCACGAACGTTATACATGTAATTATAATCAAATATAAAAAAATCAGCCTGATCCAGAATGTCATTGTACCTTTTAGTTTACATTTAAGTAGAATATTTATAATTTCAAAATTTATTGCATGCATATATTCAATTGATTGAATTATAAAATAATCGATAATTTATAAATTATAAATTATAATCTATTCATTTTATTCGATATCTAAAAGAAGATTATCTATTTATATTGCACAAGTATCGTAATTACAATTTAAAAAAGATCGTCGCATGTAAAAAAATTTAAATTAAAATAATGATGATAAAATAAATTTGACGCTATTGCACTATATAGTAATTAAATTAAAGCTAATTAAATTGAAGCTAATTAATAATTAATTAATTAATTAATTTATATATACGTATAATTAATAATCTACTAGTAATATAATTAATTAAAATATTCTAACCACTTGAAATACTTCATACTCATCAACTGAAAAGTAATCTTCACTTTCTCTGATTTTACGTTCATAACTGGTTTTTACACATCTGCAAAAACATTCTTCTTTAAAATTACCCCATAATTGCAAATCAGTCTCGGCCCCACCAAAACTAGGTCCCGAATCTTCACAATTATAACAAGCACAATTTGGATCATTCACTCTAGAACATATAATATCATTCAAATTATCATTTCCCAAAGAAAATATAAAGCTTCTGGCTGAATAACTGAAATCTTCTAAAGAAGCATCCCAATTAGTAGGCGTATACCCTCCAAGAAGTTCTCCTGTGTCTTTAACTCTCAAGACAGTTACTGTTGGTCCTTTATTATCACATAATTTATGAAATGTTTCGGCCGTAAATCCATCTCTTGTACCACGTAAAAGTAATCTAAATTCGAAATGTGATAGCATTTGTGGATCATTAATCATCCATCCAGAGATCAATGAGGCATGTTTAGCCATAATTAGAGTTGAATCAATATCACGTGGTCCTATTCCTGATGATGTCCCGATTACTTGATGAAAAGGAAAAACTTTTTTAAGAAAATCATCCGGACTTATAAGCGAAAATTTAATGAAATCAATAAATGGGTGAATTATATTTCGAAATATTGAAAATTGTTCATTTGTCCATGTCTGAATACTATGAGAAAGTATGGGATTCTGTGCGATTCCCCATTCAACTATTTTATTCCATATATCAATTTCTTTCATGATAAGATTATTTACCTTAAGTATAGATAATAATAAACTTTGGTCTATTGTAATAAAATCTTTGGTCTCAAAAAATATTGCAGGATCTTGATTAATCGTATTAAGACAAAATGTTTGTAATTCGGTAAAATGTTCATACTCTTTTACGAATTGATGAATTAAAACAAGGTTTGATAGTATTAATTCTGGATTATATAAAAGAAACTCTTGAATATGATCTATTAATTCACTTATACATAATTCATCTGCTGCTTTTAATATTTCAAGAATAATTTTCATATTAATCTCTGGAAGTTTAAGGGATGCTCCGTAAATATACTTTAAAATAATTTCAAATACGTCCGGTGAGATATTTGGTTTCCGAAAAATTATATAATTTCCTCTAGTTTTTGCCCAAGTGTTTGATAGTGCATATCGAAAGTAAAGTGATCTCGTTCGTAAAATAAGTGAATGTACTCGAAATTCTCTGATAAAAGGTTCTTGTCCGACGTGAATTACAACATCAGAATATTCTCCTGTATCGAGAAGCGATGTAAAATCACGAGACAAGGATTCAAAAAACTCCAAACACATTATATGAAAAAAAAAGAAGGGAAATTACAAAAAATTGTAAAGTTAATAATAATAAAAGGAAGGTAAAAACATAAGGAACTTGGAAGGGATGTGAAACGATGATTTTATATATCAATTTATTTGTTTGTGTTGTATATAGTATCACACGTGTTTAAATATAAATTACGCTTAATGTACTACATGTACTACAAAGACTTAAAATTCCCGCCACAAAATTAGATATTTGATATTTATTTTATTCGCAGTAAGGGTTAAGAAAAAGAGGTTCGTAGTAGTTAGTGTTCGAAATAATATTAAAATTTTTAATTTATTACCACTAATTGAACGAAATGAATAAGCTAAATTACGACGGTTTACTTGTACTGGAACAACCTTTTATTAAGGTATTCTTTTGACATTCGTTTATATTATAATGGGTTCTCAAATTGATAATGAAAATTTTTTTTTGAATTATTAATACAACTTTCTCAACAATTTTTTTTTTTGCTTTATGTAGGTACCCTTAGAGCAACTTAAAAAAACCGCAAAAGTTTCTCAAAAGGAACTTGATAAAGAGTTTACAAAATCTAATTTAACGGTCAGTGATTTAACGAATAAAATTAATCAAGGAAAAATTGGTGTATCAGACGCGAGTACCGCACTAGAAGGGATGGTTGGAAGGCTACAAAGTTTGAAACGCAAAGTAATTGTCATTTAATTATATCTCAATTCCTTATTTGATAGTGAATTTGACATAAAATATTTTATTAGCTCAACGATACTAAAGTTGAGGAAGCGATGTATGTATCAAGGAGTAAACAAAGATTATCTCACCTTAATGAATTAACTCATATACCAAGTGCAAATTCTGAAGCGTATACTCAATGGAGTCGAGTAAGATTAGATCGTATCCTTGTGGATTATATGTTAAGAGAAGGGTTCAGTGAAACTGCATTACATTTAGCAAAAGCTGAATCAATTGAGGTAGAGGTTGTTACTTTATTATTTTAAAGATATATTTATAATTTATAATTTTATATAATTAAATTATAATTCTAATAGTTTTAATCTTATTTGTCGAATTCACTTAAAGGCTTATGTTGATGTTGAATTGTTCTCACAGGCGAGACGTGTTGAACAAGCTTTGCAACGATTTAGTTGTACTGAAGCTCTTCGGTGGTGTAATGATAATAAATCAAATCTGCGTAAGATGCAGGTAAATTAATTCCTATTACCCAATTCTTTTTGGATACAGCCTATTTACTTTTATTCTTTTTAACTGTTCAATTAGAGTACATTTGAATTCAATCTTCGACTTCAAGAATTTATTGAACTAATTCGTGCTGGTAAGAAAAGTGAATCGATCGCGTATGCTAAGAAGAATCTAAATTCTTTTCAAGAAAACCATATGAAAGAAATTCAACAAGCAATGACTTTGCTTGCATTTCAGCCTAACACTAAATGTCCACCTTACAAGGTTAGTTTTAATTTGTCACGTGTTGTTTTACCCACGTGAGTTTAACAAGGAAAGCTTCTTTTGTATAGAAATTGTATGATAAGTCTCGTTGGGACGCGCTTATTGCACAATTTCGCGCCGATAACTTTGCACTGAATTCTCTTACGTCACAACCTCTTCTAACTGTTACCCTCCAAGCCGGGTTGTCTGCACTGAAAACACCAATGTGTTCTCAACCGGATAATAGAAATATTAATTGTCCAGTATGTTCTCCGGACACCTTGGGTCTATTGGCACAAAATCTTCCGTTGAGTCATCATGTAAATTCAACTATTGTTTGTCGATTAAGTGGAGAAATCATAGATGAGGATAATCCTCCCATGTCTTTGCCCAATGGATATGTTTATTCACTTAAGGTAAATTAAATTTTATATTCAAACCCTATTTATAACAAAGTTTTAATTTTTTATTTTTTTGACCTAAATAAAGGCACTAGAAGAAATGTCTAGCAAAAACAATGGGCAAATTAAGTGCCCAAGAACGGAAAAAGTTTATGATTTTAAAGATTTAAAGAAAGTATTCATTTCTTAATTGATTACATATAGAAATATTTATAATGATAAAATGGGAGAAAGGTTAATTAATATAACAAATAACAATATAATACAATGTATGAAGTAGAAGTAGAATCAACATAATGAATGAACTTTTTTTTAAAATACAAAAAATGTTTTTTTATTAATCAATAGTAATATGAATTTGCTTTTATTCTAAGAAATTAATGTTGAAAATTACTCATTCCTTCCTTTCCCAGTATTATAATGATCTTGAGTGAGCTGTACAAAATATTTATGTATACGATCATCATTTGTTAATTCAGGATGAAAAGCTGTACCTAACAGACTACCTTGTCTAACAGCTACAATTGAAGAAGCATCCGTTTCACCTATATCATGCTCCAATCGAGCAAGAACTTCTACATTAGATGAGTTAATTGAAGAAATGATTGGAGCGCGAATAAATATAGCGGGAAATAAATCATCTGATGAAGTTGTAATGTGATTAATGTGTAATAACGATTCAAATGAATCGATCTAATAAAAAAAGTGGATTAAAAAGAAATAATTTAAGTTTTTATTTAAATTATGAATATGAAAATTTTATTAATAACTTACTTGGCTGCCGAATTGATTTCGATTAACCGTGATATTCAGTCCACCTATCAAATCTTGTCCACCTTTCTTAACTTTATTGGCTTCATTAGCTAATAATATCATACCGGCGCATGTACCCCAAGTAGGTTTTTCGTCACGCACGAATTTCCGAAGAGGTTCCATTAACCCACTACGTTCGGCTATTAAGGCCATTGTAGTTGACTCTCCACCAGGTATTATTAAAGCATCAATTGTTTCTAGTTGTTCTGCTTTACGTATAGGTATAGCGGAAGAAACTTGTGAAATATTTTGTAACATATGTATGTGTTCTTGGAAAGCCCCCTGAAGAGCTGCAATAAAGGTAATGTAAGAAATGTACCAGAAAGTAGTTATAGAACATGTCATTAGAAGTAATTCTTACCTAATACTCCAAATTTAAACTGAGGTTGTACTTGTTGAAAATCATTGCAAGTACGGACCATTTTAAAATATATGAAGAAAAATAAACGAAATGATTTAGCGTATTAATAATTTTATAAATTAAATCTTAGATCTATTTCTACTAACTAAAATTAAAATTGATCAATTATTTACAAATTACAATCAGATTTTTTTTGATAAAGTTCGACCAATTTTCTTGGTTACACTATGGAATTTAACCAATAGGATCAAAAATACCGTATTCGTTATATCTTCTTTTCTGTAACCATCTCACTTTTGATTATGAAAGCACAAGAAATACACAGGATGGAAGAAATGAATATCGAAGATAGAAAAGAAATACTTTCAGTTGAACAACAGAACTTACAACCTATCTCTCCAAAAGAAGAACTGGCTCAACAATCTTCTAACGATGATCGTGAATTTGAACGCGATGGTTATCAGCGAACAAGAGAAGAAGTCACAACACAGTCACAGGACGAAAAACATGATATAGCAGATCAAAATGAATCTCATGAACTTGCACTTGTATATGAATCAGATCCGACAGAAAGGAATGTTCTGGATCCATATGATAAGAATTCTCGATATTCTGAAAAACAAAAAAACGGGAGTAAAATTTACAATCGCAAGAGGATACGATCTAATAGCATTCATAGTGAAGAATCGTATTATTCACGACCGTCAGAAGAGTTACATATGGTTACAACTCCACCTCCGCCACCACCACCACATCCTGATTTGGTTTCAACTCCAAATCGTCCAGCAGCTATTACGGAAATAAAATCTTCTTTACATCATCATCATCATCATCACCATAGGCCGAGGACACCTGTTTATGATTCTGAAATCCCTCCCCCTTCATGGCATTCCAATAATAGGATTCCCCGGAAGGATTATTTTAATAATGATCGGAAAAAAAATCGAATGCGATATAGAAATCGAGATTTTAATTACGAGAGAGTGCAATTATTTGACAGAATACGAATTAAAGATAGAACTCGTATACCAGAAAGAGAAAGAGATTTTGAAATAGTAGATCGAAAGGAGAGGTATGATCGTGAAAGAGAATTAAGAATAATAGAAAGAGATCGTGAACGTGAAATACGAGAACGAGAAATAACACGACCGCGTGATAATCCGACAAGGTATTATGAAGAATCCCATCCACGTATGCGTGTTCCATATTATGAATATGGTAGAGAAGCAGATAGAATGCGTGCTCCATATTATGATTACCATCGAGAACCTGATTTTAGAGAAAGAGAATATCCTCGTTACCGTGAATTTGATTGGGATCCTTATTACCACCGCGTATCATCACCACCTCTCGGTAACTTTCCTTATAGAGACAACATGAAACGACCTAATGATTATTTTTATCAACCTCCAATTTATCCCAGAAGATCAATATCTCCTCGAGCTCGTTATTCACATATTAGACGTTCACTTTCACCTAATTCTAGACGTCTATCAAATCCTACACACGAACGTCGATATGAGCGAGATCGTCCACCTCGCTATGATCTAGTTCGTGATAATGAATTTGAACGGAGAGATTCTATACATTATAATGCGCCTCATTATAGTGAATTGCACTCACCCGGATTTGATCATTATACCTCTCCAGTTTTACCACCAAGTCCTATTAATATGAAATCTTCTTATGAAGATAATGGTCTTAGTTCTGGTGTAGGTTCAAATGTCAATGAATCTTATGAACGTGAACGTCCTCTTAAATCAAGAAATTGGGATATAAACGCAGATAATAGAGAGGGGAAAAGAGGCCAAAATAATTCTAATGATAATCCTAGCGGAGGCTATGAACATGAACGTGAACGTGGTCGTGGTCGTGAGAGACGAAGACTTTGGGACGTAACTACTGACGATAAACATAAACATATGGAAGTAGATAATCATAGCAATAGTACTATTGTCAGCGCTTCAGCTAATATTAATAATAACATCACACAAGATCGTACTCGTGATCGAGTTCGAAACGAAAAAACAAGAAATTGGAATTCTAATGATGAAGATATCAATACGGATCACAATAATAGTGGAGGTTCAGATACGGGCAAAGAGTCTTATCATGTTATACGTGAGAAAAATAACAAATATTGGGATGATGATGAGAATAATAGAGACCCGGATCGTAATACTACAAAGTATCGTGAGAGGGATAATAAAGAGAGAGAAGATTTCGATCAAGCGTTTTCTAAAAAATAAGTTTTCAAAACATTTTCTTTTTTTGGACTTCATGTTTCGGCTTTATATTTCGTAAGACCTTCAATGGAGAATGGTTTCAATAGTTCAATCTTATAATTAAAGGAAAAAAGATATCTAGTCACCTGGTCAAAGCATTGAAAACCAAGATAACTATTTGTCTATTTTTTTCTTTTTTCTTTTTATTGTTTAAGTATTAAAGTCCTTCTTGGTTATTTTACTGAGGAATCTGGCTGCGATGATAATCAAATTTTAATCAATATAAAAAAATAAAATAAATAAAATATTATATTCTTCATATAATAATGTAATGATGTATGAAGTATTTTTATTATTACTTTATTATTACATTCATATTATTTCTAAGCAATAAAATAGTTCAGTATAATTATCGTTGATTACGTATTAATGTTAAAAACTCTTCTCTAGTTTTAGCTTGTTCTCTAAATACCCCCAACATTACGCTTGTTACAGTGGAACTTCCCGGTTTTTGTACTCCACGCATTGACATACATAAATGACTTGCATCCATTACAACGGCAACACCTTGAGGTTTAAGTATTTCTTGTAAAGCTACTGCAATTTGTTTTGTTAAACGTTCTTGAACTTGAAGTCGTCTTGAAAACATTTCTGCGATACGAGCTATTTTAGATAATCCAATAACGCTTCTATTTGGGATATAGCCAATACTGATCTGTTTTGTGAGTAAAATTAATATTAAATAGTTGATGATAAGTCTTAAAACACTTAATACTCTTAAGAAGTTTTTAACCTTTCCAGTAAATGGAACTAAATGATGTTCACATAAAGAAAATACTTCGATGTCCTTTACAATAACCATCTCGTCGTGATCTATCATAATTAATAACACATTAGCATAATTAGTATTAAATAAATCATAACAAAAAATAGCCAACCTTCTTCAAAGATAGCTCCGTTGACTATTTCTAAAATAATTTCATAGTTAAATTTAAAATTATTCTTTTAACTTAAAAAAAAACAAAAAAAGGAATAAAAAAAATAATTTAATAAAAACATACGTTCAATGCTTTCTTCATATCCCTTGGAAAAAAACATCAATGCTTGAGCGTATCTATGAGGAGTTTTTTGTAAACCTTCGCGTTCTGGATCTTCCCCGATACATTCTAATATAGTTTTAACCGCTTCAGCTAGTTTATTTGTACGTTCATATTTTTGTTCGGTTGTTTCATTTAAACGTTGTTTGGTACCTATGCCTGTATTGAGAAAAAAGAAAGAATAGATAAGGAATGAGATGTATAGTAATATAATTAATAACAAGTACTTACTAGGCCAACTTAACCCGTCTATATCGAATGGTTTTAGAGACAAATTTTTAGCATAAGCCATTTTTAAAAAAAATCAAAATTTTTTGATCAATGTCGAATATCATATTTAAATATATTGTTGTCGCGTGACTTAAATATATATTATCTGTTATGACTCACTATGGTCCCCGGATAACTATAATATGCAATATGCAAAAAAGTTAATATTTTTAATGAAAAGGTCATATGAAAAAAGCGGGTATTTTAAGAAAAAGTTAAAGGTAACATGTAAATTCTCCAATAAAAGCGTACTTTTTAGGGAATATGATATGTAGTGTTACATCAAGTTTTGATATAAATAGTACGTTGTTTCTTGGGAAGAAATTCATTTTATATTAGATCATTTTACCATAATATAACAAATTATATGTTTTACCAGTTGATTGCTTTGAAATTTCGAAACGTACACGTACATGAGTCTATGCGTTTTAACTTTTATTTTTAACATTATTATATACTAATATAATACAAAAGATCCACCTCCTAATATTCAATCTGTTCAAAGCTTATGTTTCAAATATTAATACGTTCTATTACTTTTTTCCATTAGCCAAAATTAATAATACTGCCTGAAACATTAATTTTTTAATTATGTACACAGCAAATTAATAATGCTGATATGAAATATCTGCTATTTGTTAATAAATAAATCGAAGTCATATGATAAAATGTATTTAATTATGTATACTACGTTGGATGCCGACCTCTATTATAATTATCCGCATGTATATTATGGTATCATATAAAAATTTATTATCAAAGATTTTTTTTAACCAACATAAAATAACAAATATCAGTTCTATTGGTTCTATTTTTATTTTTTGCCTATATACAACTAAAAGGATTTGATGCAACTTCTGTTTCCTTGTTACTTCCTTGATAGTATTATTACAAGAAACATTGTGTCATTCTCCTAGATTCTTTTGAGCTGCTTTCCAAGCTTAATATTTTGTTTATATGTAAGCTTCATGATGTTTGGCTAAATTTAGATATCTGGCCTCAATTCTAAGTCATTTCAAGTCTAAAACCTTTTTAAAATTAACTTTGATTCTAGGATAACAAAGTTACATTGCTAAATTTGAAATATTTTGCTAACAAACGAAAAATACCATGCACCCCACACCCTCACTATAGTGAATCCCACGGGCTGGAGATTAAAATTCGTTACAAAAATTTTATACGAGATTATTCATATCACATGACATTGATGATCTTTCCTTTCGAAATATCTTATGTATGTCACGTGATAAGTATACATATGATATGTATAAAAATAAAAAAAAAGTACATGTGACAATATTCTACAAGTAATGCAATCATACAAAGCAATAATTTTTGATATTGGAGGAGTATGCGTTGGTTCGCCTTTTCAAGGAATTGCTAAATATGAAAGACAATTTAACTTGCCGAAGAATTATATTAATGTAGCAATGTAAGCAACATTTTTTTTATGAATATTTAATTCTTTTATTTTTTTTTTCGATTAATTCCTTTAACTAGTGAAAAGAGTGGAGAAAATGGTGCATTTCAAGTAAGTAAAATTTCGTTATATGATTTTTTGATATATATATACTCACGCTATGAATCGAATATCTTCCTCAAATTAGCGTTTGGAACGCGGTGAATTATCTATTCCAGAATTCTATAAAATTTTTGGTGTAGAATTGTCGGATCCTATAAATAAAGGATACTATCTCCAATACTTACGATCGCGTAAAAGTAAGTATACTCTATTTCACTCACACAATTTTAATATAAATTTGCTAAATGTCTACTATCCATTTGTTTGATAAGCTTCAAACATCCCATCTCTTCCTGATAAAATTACAATTGATGGCAAAAAACTGTTTCGTATGATGATGTCAGAAGCCGCAAAAATTAATCCTGTTGTCTATAATGCCATTAAAAAACTTCGTGTAAATAAATTTAAAATTGCTGCTTTAACTAATAATTTTCAGTTGCCAATTCAAGACCAGGAGGAAATCGAAATATTAGGGGGAAGCCCTCCAATAGAATTTAAGAAATTATTCGACGAATATATTGAATCAAGTGTCATTGGATTACGGAAGCCTGATCCAAAAATCTTTTTATATGCCTGTGAAAAGTTAGGTGTCAAGCCTAACGAAGTTATATTTCTTGATGATATTGGAACGTATGTAAAACCTTTTTAAAAAACTTTTAAAGACTTTTTTTCCTTCGCCATATTTTACTAGATTTATCATATATAGGAACTTGAAAGCAGCAAGGGACTTGGGAATGAAAACTATAAGTATGAATCTTATTTAATATTGCAATTATTCAATCCTAATAAAATTACTTATTACATTGTAACAAATATTCAGAAGTAAATCTGGGAAAATCTGATGATGCAATAAAAGAATTGGAAGATTTAGTAGGAATTCCTCTCCTAGATAATTCAAAGTCGAATTCAGCTAAGCTCTAAATTTACCAATATACTTAACACCTTAATGGATGTAAAGGCTATTATGACAAAAAAAAATGCGCCTATCACAAAATAAAGTCAAATACAAAAATATATATACTCGTTCATTAAAAACACAAGTATACACAACAAATTAAAAAAGCACTCTATACAAAGTAAAACTGAGAGTGTTTCAATTTTATTAGACTATTAATATTATTAATAAGTTTCTTCAGCTAAAGTATACCTGGTAGCACAGTATTAGTGTAAGTTTAGTGATTATGTAATAATGCTCATGTCATATAAAGAGATTCCATTATGCATCTTTTCAATGAAAAAATAAAGTGTATCTATCAATCAGATAAAAGAAACCATATGTATATCGTAAACTTTGAAGTTTGAATGGACCCAAAGTAAAATGTAAGAACAAAATTTCGAATAATTGGGAACGTTGAAATATAACTAACAAATTAAATAATGGAATAAATTTATAGAAAATCTACAGCTGCAATAAAAGCCGTAAAAGTCGTAAGTATTCTGTAATTTGTTTATTTATTTATTTTGTTCAGGATTATATGATGAGAAACATGCAAAATAAAGTGAATATTTAATGATCACCTTTATTTAAGTCTCTGAAAAATTCCTCATCATTACATCATATATTTACTGCGGCCCCCAATTTCGATTATAAATTTACATGCGATTTACATTTTTACACAGTACTCTCACGCGAAACGCGTAAACAATGGGTATTAAAGGCTTAACTAAAGTTATTGGCGATCGCTGCCCTAATGCCATCAAAAGTAATGAGATAAAGAATTATTTTGGACGTAAGGTTGCAATTGATGCTTCAATGTCAATATATCAATTCTTGATCGCTGTGAGGCAACAGGATGGACAACAATTGACCACTGAATCAGGAGAGACTACAAGGTTCATTATTTTAATATGCAATACAATAAATTCGACGCGTTTTTTAACAAAAATATTCCTTATCCGGTAACTAATAGCCATTTGATGGGTATTTTTTATCGAACGATTCGAATGGTCGAAAATGGGATAAAACCTTGTTACGTCTTTGACGGAAAACCACCAAAATTAAAATCTGGTGAGGTAAGCTTTGTAAAACTTGATATTAAATAGATTATTCCATATACAACTTTGTAAATAAACTTCACGACGCGTTTTAGCTTGCGAAACGTTTGGAGCGAAGAAAAGAAGCGAGTAAAAGTCTCGAAGAAGCTGAAGAATTGGGTAAATAATATGGAGAATATTTCGTGAATAAATTATTAAGTACGTTGTATTAAATATGAAGTATACACAGGTGAAACTGTTGATATAGACAAATTCAGTCGACGAACCGTTAAAGTTACTTCAGAACATAATGATGAATGTAAAAAACTATTAAGCTTAATGGGAATTCCATATGTTGAGGTTGTTTTATCTGTTATATCTTTTTTCCTTAACAATTTTTTATTAACTTTTGATTTGCATATACGTTTATAGGCACCATGTGAAGCTGAAGCTCAATGTGCCGCTTTGGCCCGAGATAAGAAGGTAAAGTTTTTATTTAATTTATTATTGAAATTAGATTCTCTCATAATTATTTTTATTTTCTTTATTTAGGTATATGCAGCCGCATCCGAAGATATGGACACATTGACTTTTTCGACCCCCGTACTATTACGACATTTAACTTTTAGTGAAGCTAGAAAATTACCTATTGGCGAAATTCATCTAAATAAAGTATTAGAGGGGCTTAACTTTACAATGGAGCAGGTAAGTTATTTATTAATTGCCTTATTTTCTATATTATAATAAATATAATACTTATATTTTTTGAATAGTTTGTGGATTTATGTATTCTTTTGGGTTGCGATTATTGTGATTCTATTAAAGGCATTGGCCCACAAAGAGCGGTTGAATTAATAGATAAGCATAAATCGTTAGAGGAAATAATTAGGACTCTTGATCCTAAGAAGTATCCAATTCCAGATGATTGGATGTATAACGAAGCAAGACAATTGTTTCTAAATCCAGAAGTTCTAGATCCGAAAGATATCGACGTAAATGGCTTTATTTTATTGTATTTTCACTAATATTAGATCCTTCCTTAGTTCCATCTAATTATGTTTCTTAAAAAGATTAAATGGAAGGATCCCGACGTTGAAGAGATTGTCAAATATTTAGTTCATGAAAAAGGATTTAGGTAAAAAAAAAATTAATCAAAATAGAATGATTAATATATATTTGCCATATATTGAATAACTATTATTTGATGTAGTGAGGATCGTGTAAGAAAAGGAGTCGATAAACTTGCAAAACATCTTAAGACTGCAACACAAGGAAGGTTGGATAGCTTTTTTACTACGCTACCAAGCAGTCCAAAAGCACCTTCTAAACCTTCTAAACGTAAGGTAATTATCTAATTATTGTAATTATTTATTTTCTCATATAAGAATATTTCTTATATTTCTTCGTTTCGTTATTGATCAATCATTTTTATTTATGTAAGGGTGAGGATGAAAAATCAAATAGCAAATCAAAAAAACCTAAATCAACAAGCAAGAGAGGAAGACCGAAAAAATAATAACCGGTTATAACAATTTGTAATTCACATAAAAAAAATATTCTTTTTTTGTCAAATAAATATGATCATTTTGATATTTCGTTTTTAAAATTTTAAAATCAAGTAAACTTTTAACATTCAAGAATGTATATATATCTTATTATATTTATTATTATAATAATCAATATTTTTCCTTTCCAAGAGTACAAACAAACCCAAAATCATAAAAATAAAATAAAAACTAGAAAAATAAATAAAATTATGTGGAAAGTCGAATCGGAAGAAAGTTTCCAATAATTGCAGACTATGAATCATAATAATTGAGTAAAGTAAGAAATAGATCGATCAGTTTTTGCCAGAAACTAGTGATAAAAATAACTCACCGGTCTATAAATGTTTATAATATTATTATTTGGGAAAACATGTGAATAAAATTAAATTCTATTAATTCTCAAAAAATAATATTATACATACATATTATACTTGTCACGACGGATTGTAAATGAAAAGCAACAAGAAATAACATTCTGCATATCTTGATCCGGTCCTTTTAGTAAGCAGGATGTTAGAACTGCTTTCTGTCCAGCATCAAACGCTATGTTACCGTATTTCTTTGTAATAAATAAAGATATTAATTTAACATATTATAACAATTTGCATTATATTGATATGTCACATACCTCCCAATAATTCACGGCTGATTCCTCCATCATTAACTATAAAATCAATGCAAAAATATATTTATTTATTCATATTAGGTACATTTCTTTGCATATTTTTACCTCATATATGCAGAGTCTTCCTTCTCTAAGCATTTCAATAGGTACTCCTATAAGTAAAGCAAATTCTTTATTTCCCTTATAAATTTCACCTGTCCTGCGCCATAGACAAGCAGGAATTCCCATGGAACTGAATACCCTATCGTAGCCCTATTATATAATAAGTATATAAATAAACTAATTATGAATTAAAATAGATAAATTTAAGTGATTTTCTTCAAACCAATAAGAGCCGTTCAAAGGCTTCTTCTACTAAAACCAGGTCTATATCCGTTAGAGATTGAGCGACATTGCGAAACGTCGGTCGAAAAGTTCCAAGTGAATTCAAAATCCGCTGTCTACTTACACTTGTCATACTCGAAAAGATAAATAATATTAAATTAAGCCTAATCCAAATTTTAATAGTAAGAAAACTGCAAATGATTTTATTTCTCACTTATTTTCCATATATTTTTGTAGTCGTGTATATCCGCTAACATAATTATATGGCTTCAAAATTCCAGCTTCAAACTTTGCGTTGATCACCTGAGTTAGTCGCTCTTCTGAAGGGCCATCAGATGGATCAGCAGCTGTCAAAAGAAATTTCTCAGTACTAATGTCTATCAAATTTCCATCAGAACTTTGTTGATTCTGTGTATTCCCATCCACGTTTTCCAAAAAGTCACTTTATCGAATAAAAAAGATAAAATCAATCTTTGTAAAATATTTGAACCAATTGAACAGAGAATAAGCTTACGTAATCACAGTGAATTCATGTCCCATGTGTTCACTAGCAAAGGTAAGAGGCGTTGTCGGTAATTGTGAATATGTAAATGCTTGCATAGCTAAATTATTATAAGCATTCGATCTCATAACTTTCCCAAGAGGGAATAAACTTTCTAAGCAAACAGCGTAAACGCAATGAAAGTAAAACTTAATGTAAAATATTTACCTTCTTGAGGAAGCGATTGCATTGCTAAAATACCAGCTGGTAAAGCATTGTGTCCGCTAGACATCTGTTGAACGCCATGAGAACCCTTTGGCTCATCGTGACAAAGATGTCCTATGCTACGCTTGATGCAACGTTGACAAGGACGACCTAAGAGAGTAATCAATATAATAAATAAATAAAGTAAATTCAGTAGGAAAACGACAAAACATACAAATATATATAATATATACCATCATCACAGGTCATATGAGATCGTCGACAGTATACGCATGCTTAAAGCATTTATAAGTTAAAATGCAAGAAATACGTCAAAAATATAATTGCTGCAAAATAATAGGTACCATGAGTAACTTTTCGTCTTTTAGGACCGGCTCTCTTTTTTTTGTCGGTTTCCTTCGTCGTTGTTGAAGTATCGCCGGTTTGGGCCTCATTCTCGGTTTTAATAACTGGCTCTGTATAATTTGTTTGTTGTTGTTGCTGTTCCAATTGTTGATGTTGAAGGACCTGAGAGTTATTATTATGTTGCTGTTGCTGTTGCTGTTGTTGTTGTTGTTGTTGTTGTTGCTGCTGCTGTTGCTGTTGAACGGATTCCATTTGCTGGGATTGTAAGGTAGAAGTATCGTTATTCATAAAATATAATAGAGTAAATAATAAATGAAATCAGATCAGATCTTTAATAGCATTGGCTGTTGCTAAAGTGTTATCCGCAGAATTTTAACACGTGATACATTACTACTTAAGCATTTTTGATTTGAAAATCCCCATCGTCTAACAGCATGTCTAGTCAGTCACCACAAAATCAAGCATCTCTATACGTTCCCGAAAACATTGTTCATAATGTCAAAACCATCACGTTTATTCGTTCTTCAATGTCAGCTATCACCGGTTCAGCAGCTGGAATTTTGGGCTTAACCGGCTACAGTGGTTTCATATTTTATACTTTAACAGCAATTCTTACTTCTTTTCTAATATGGTCAATTAAAACTAATGCGAATCCAGGAGTATACTTTCGTAATGGTTCTGATGTATGGACTGAAGGTGTATTTGGTGGTTTATTTTCCTACGTACTATTTTGGACTTTATTGTACGGAATTGTTCATGGTATGTTATGTGCGAAAACAATAATCTTTGACGTATCTAGCGCACTTATTTAATGATTACTCAAAATATTTATCCACTCTTTTACAGTTTATGATTAAACCTAGAAGTTCAAATAATAGAATTTTATCACATGATTTAAAGATTCACGAACTTAATGAAAGGTGATCATTAAATAATAATTCTCCTTGTTTTTTATCATTACTTACTAGTCTTTTATTACATGCCGTGAAAAATTTCATTTTACTTTGGTCTATTCAAAGTTCACGATATACAGAAATATTTTAACGTAAATTTATAGTGAACATTATATACAATCATTAAATTCGCATTTTTGATTTAATTTCTTACATAATACATATTTGGAGATATTACGTACTTCTGATAACGAAGTAACGTAAAGTCACATGTTGTACTTATGTTATTTTTATTGGTTCCATAGGACTCTGGATAATTATAATAAAGGTCATATTCAAAAAAAGTATATTATTTACGAAAAGGTCATGGATATTTAGAAAAAAGTCATGGTCCCGACATAGTAAACAGGTCATATATAATTTATTTCCATTTTATATTAGATAAATTTACCTGAAATTCAACGTTTTATTTAAAATATGTGTATGAGTCATATAACTTTATTTTTAACATTAAAAATCCCATTTTTCTATGAAATTTTTGTAATTTCCTAAATAATAAATGATCAAAATGACTAGAAATATGTGAAAACAAAGCATATTTTGGTTCACATACTGGGAAATGGAATTGTAAAAAGAAACTTGTTAATATTTAAAAGTTGTTCAATAGTTTTATTGTTTATTTTGTATCATAGTATATAATTGTAAAAAAAGAAATAACAATTTATAATTTTTTTAATTCAATTACAATTGATTATTATTATAAAATCAATTAATAATACTGATTAAATTTAATATGAAATAAGAAATACTAAAGAAATTGTATTAAAGTTACATGATAAAAAGAATATCTTTAATATATATATTTAAATATATCATTTATTGTATTTGCTCACTGGTGTACCATATCAATAAATAAAGTATTACTCCCTTTGAGGGTAATTACAAAAAAAAAAAAAAAATATTTAAATATATATTTTTTTGGATTTTTAATTAATACTGTAAATTATATGGTAATTCCTAAATTTCTTTAACTTATAGCAAATAAAATGTATTATATGGGCAGATTTGATTTATTTAATAATTAGTTTTGTTTTGTTTTTAATACACTGCATATTTTATTAGTAAAAGTTAAGAAAAAATACATTTGTTATTTTACTTAAACCCTACATAAGTATGCATAGTTCAATTACATTACTTTTATCTATAAAATTCAAAAAAAAAATTAATACTATTAAATCTCTAAATAATCCAGAAATATCAAAAAAAGACTAAACTAAATAAAAGGAAAATTATGAAAATTTAAAGAAAAAACTGAATAAAAAAGGTAATAAATACCAAATCTCTATCTACTTTATAAATCTCTTATTAACAAAAAAGTTTACTCTTCAAATAACTATAAATTTCAATTAATATTTTATGAAAAAATCTTTATAATACTTTTAAAATAAAATATTAATAAATCTAACTTCTTAATATATAACTGTTATGAGAACTCTTTCTGATAATCCTCATATCCATTTTTTTAGCAGAAAAATAATTTTATTTTTTATTATTTTATAGCTTAAAATATGGTACACCTGGCCAAATATACTAATATTATTAACCTCGATGAAGTTAATGAATATAATATTAATGGAAAGAGCTTTCTTGACATACTAAGTATTGCCCTTCAGAAGGTAAAACTTACCAGACCAACCGCTATTCAAGGATATGTAGAGCGTATTTTACCTGCTGAAGAATACAACAATACTGAAACCTTTAAAGATCATAGACCTGTACTTAAGGAACTTGGTGTTAAGAATGAAGTTCAACTCACCTATTTGTTGTTTACTCTCGATACTATTGCCGATGAGTATGAAGTCTCTCTAAAGAATTACATAGACAAAACAATCCAAAAACAAGTAGCGCAGTTCGAGTCAACAGAACTAACCAATGATACGCCAGTATCAATACAACTGAAGTACAGCTGATGGAAACAGAAATTTTTGAAAATGTCGAACACCAATTAATAGATGTGGAACATGACGATCAAAACACTGAACACCAATTAGAGAACGTGATGGCAGAATCTTTAACAAAAAACTCTAAGAGTTTCACAAAATTGAATGCTAAAGCCATATCCTATACCCCAAAAGGAAAGGATGTACTGTTACATTTGCAAAAATGGCCTTCAGGAATCTACATGCAGGCAGCAACCGTGATACCTTTTCGACTCCATCTGGTAATAGGTCAAAAACGAATAACGTGACTAAGCATACGGCGTCTAATAGCAAAGTTTTGCCAGTTAAGAAAAAACAACAACACGCTCCTCCAAAAGAAATACAATCAGTAATGACCGGATATGATCCAGTACTCAAGGATAATATTTGGGAAATTACTTTATATGATATCCCCTCCACCTGGCCTCAACTCGAAATTCTTCAGTATTTTGAGAAATGGAGTCACATGATCGCTTTTAAAATGAAATATCAGAAGAAATATTTAACGGTCACCATTTCAATCAACTTCAATAAGTGGGCTATGAACCTATGGAATCAAGGAGTTTGGACCGCTTCTTTAGACCCATCTAATGGTATCCTATTAACTGGAATCTTCAACAAAAAAAGGAAAGAAAACGATTTCAGGCTGTGGTGAAAGACATACCTGGAAATATCATCACTTTGATGCTATATCCTTCAGACCCTTCTCAATTACCTATCTCATATTTGGGATGCAAAGCTTTTAAGGTGATCAGGAGAAAAATACTTGCAAGCTTATCATGTATTATGAAAATTGAGCAGATTTGGATAAAATCACAAATACCAAGTTGAACTTGCAAGAATATGAAGGTGTTTGGATTAGGTACTTTTCACCTCAACTATTTAAAGGTCATAATCGACCACCAAGAAGTGGCCGAAATCAGAAGCAGAACCAAAACTCGGCTAACAAGGTTGAACCAAATACTACAGATAACAAGATTAAGACGAGTAAGATTACCTGCCTAAACCTCTCCAAAATTCTACGATTAGTTTCTTCAAGATTTTACTATAGTTTTATTATAGTTTCAGCAAGGTTTCAGCAGTTTCAGCATTTATAATAAGTTTCGTCAGGTTTCGCTTTTCTCCAGAGTTTTGCCAACTTTTTAATAAGACTTTCATATAGTTTTGGCAAAGTTTTGCTATTTTGGCATTTCACCAACTTGCCAAAACCTCCTAGTTTCTCCAGCAACCTTAAAGATGAATAAACCTCTTAGAAAAAACATGTATCTTCGACTCTAAAGAATATGAAGAAAGGTTTGGATGGTAGTGAATCGGGCAAACTTACTTTATTAGCAGAAATTAGATCATTACTAAGAAGGCTTAAGAACTAATGGGATGACTGCTTTACCTTGATGACTATATATAGAATTGTGATAGACAGTATAGTAGACTTCATATCCTGTCTCTTATACACATCTAGATGTGTATAAGAGACAGGTATAGTAGACTTCATATCTGTAGAATACTAATAATTTTTTTTAGTTACCCCTATTTTAATTTTTTTTTTTTTTACCCTGACTTATTGTTTTTACTCCTATTACTTCATTTTGTTCGAAATGGGTTTCGTCTGCAATAACAGTGAGTCCTTAGGGGCACTCATGGCATAGATCAAAAGGAAGGGATCTCTCTAAGAAAATACACCTACAAGGTAGACTTACTTCTCTAGCCTAAGTCCTTCACTGACAGTGCACATATAGTTGCTTCGCTGAAGTTAGCAAGTGATGTAGTTCTTTACTAAATTAGAATTTATATTAGTTTTACATATATTGTATAAACTTATTTTTAAAAATCTTAATAAAGATCTATATGTGGTGCAGTAAAAAAAAATATATATATATATATAACTGTTTTAATCTTCAAAATTATGAAAAAAATTCAGGTTTTACAAAAGTAAAATTATTTTTAATATAAATTACTTCCAATATATAGTTTTTTTAAACTATAAATTTAAAATCTAGATAAATTTTAAAAAAATTTTCTTTAAGTCATTATATCTAAAAAGCAATTTACAAGAACTATAAGTTAAGAAAAATTAAGTTTTTTCTTTAGCTTTTTTTTACTAAAAAAATGGTCAAATAATTGATAGATAAAAATCAATTTAATAATTTGAATGTTAATTATTTTAATTAAATTATATTAATTTTAATTAAAATAATCAATATTCTAATCTATATATAATGATTAACAAATAAATTAGAGTATTGCTAAATATGATGGTCACCAGTAGTGGATTTATGATATAATACCGGTTAGTGTTTTATTAAATTTTAATTCAGGCCAAAAATGCATCTTAATACTGGTATGGTAATAATCACTGCTGGTGAGATTTTCAATAAATTATAATAAGATAAATATACAGTAAATAAAGTTGCTTATTAAAATTTGTAAATTTTATTATATTAAAATCATTAAAATTATTTTTACTATTTTAGCATTATTTTGACAAATAATTTTAACAGTAAATAATGTAGTTTTATTAATTATATAATTATAACAGATTTTTTTCAAAATTAAAATTATAATAATACTAATTATTTTTTTTAAAAAAAATAAATTACTAATTAGTATTATCTAAAAAAAAAATCTATATGATTTTTTAAACTTATTTTAAGTTTCATAAATTTACTTACTTAAAAATTCTAAATCTTATTTAAAAATATAAATTTTAGTATTATAATTTTGCATTGAATAAATATAGGTATTGCATAAAGTAATAAATTACTTTATATATCTTTTAAATTGTTTTGTAACCAAATTTGCCTGCAATTTTATTTTTTAATTAAAGACACTTTTAAATATCTTAAAATATTTTATTACATAAACCAATATTTTTATAATAAATTCTATAGTATTTTCTAAGTAAAAATTGAAAAAAAAGTTCAATTTGATTAATGATTTTTTAAAAGTAAATGATCAACAAATTATAACAAATAGTAGCTAAATTTTTCAAATTGAAATATCTTTTTATCTATTAACCCTAGAAATATAAAATTACCACTATTTGATGTGTCTTAATGAGAAGAATCTGATAGAAATAAAATTGTTCTTCTACAAATATTATATGACAGAATAACTTATAAAATCTAAAAATTTATAAATTAATATAACTTTTTATCTATCAATTTTAGAGTTATGATTTTATTACCATTAAATGCACCTTAATAAGAGGAATTTAACAAATATAATTTCATCTTTCTATGATCACTAAATCTTAAGATATTTTAAAAATACAAAATTTTTAAAATTAATTTTAACCCCTACAGTTTAAGGGATAATATGTTATTTGTATCATGATATTTATTACATATTACCTTTTTAAAAAATTTATTACTAGGTAACGATTAATAAAATCACTTAATCTGATTGAATTAATTGATTACTAATAATTTATATATATTGTCCAAATTATTTTAGACTGCCATAATTATAAGTAAAATCCCAAATTTAATTTTAGCATTCCAAATTATTTTGGCACTTTACATAATAAATTACATATAAACTGAATAAATTACAGCATCCTAAATTTCCTAAATTATAATTATGAGTCTAATATAATAAATACTAATATATAATACATTAAAGTTTATTTAGCGTTTATATATTAATTCTCGTTATTGCATATTTTAGGAGTATTTTTAAAATTTCTTATCTTGTATACCTCTGTTTTTAAACAATCCAGTAATTGGATTTTAATAAATTTAAATTCATCTTGATTAAACAAATCTAATGGTAGTAAATTTGCATTTTTTATTTTAATATTAACTGAATTATTATTAAAAATGCATTTTATTATATATTACCTTTAAGTTGATACATAGTAACTAATACTTAAAGTTTTAAACTTTGAATTTTATTTTTATAATAACCATTACTTAAATTAGGATTTATTCCTTCTAAATAAGAAAATATTCTAGCCTTATTTAGTAATAAAAAATATTGATCACAATTTATTATAACAATAAATCAATATGATTAATTATAACCAATATCATATGATCGAATAATTTATAAAAATATATAAAAATATGTTAACTTTGAACTTTAATAACTTTAAAATATGATAAATAAAGGAAAAGTAATCCAATAATTTTAAAGAGAAGAACTCAAAGAGGACTATGAACATCTCTCATACAACTAAGAGGTAATACAGTCAACTCCTTCTATAGTCACTCCCGTTATAGTCACATTCTACTATATAGTCACACCAGTTGAATGTTCAAAACACTTTATTATTAAAATCTATCCTATATAGTCACAATCTATCTATAGTCACTATCACACCTATCCTCAAAAATCTTATATTAAAAAAAACCGTTTATAATCACAGTTATATAAAGAATATATTAAATAACTTGGCATTAATAATCATACAAAGATGTATCATAGCTTGTTAGAATCGTCTCACTGAGACAGACGAATCGAATGGTAGTAGTTTTATCCTTTTCCTGTGCAAACAGTCTTATGACTTTATTTTTTATTTTATATTTAACATCGAAAATACAGTCGAACAATATTGCAAAAATAAGAAAATAAACTAAAAAATAAAAAGAGTAGCTTCACGATTCATACAAGTAAAGAAATCTAAACTAAAATAAATTAAAGCAAAAAAAACTAAACTATTACAGAATCGCATACCCCAACTTTACCCAAAGGCCAGTGTGAGTCAACTATCCAACATCCAAAAATCCAGTCCGTTACCAGAAAGAAATCCTAAGAGGTTGAACTGTTAAGCGGCGCAGAAAATTCAAGTGCGAGATCCATGATCCATCCCGAATTATAGAAGAGGATATCCAAGAAATCCAGGAATTTACTGGTAAAAAAATGGTCTATTCTACACATATCCTACACATATCTTACATATATCGGGTTCTCAAAATGTAGAAAATCATACACAAATAATACACATATCATATACATATCGGGTACTTATATATATAGTATACCTATCAAGTACCTGATATATGTATGATATATATATTAGTACCCGATATGTGTATGATATGTGTATTATTTGTGTATGATTTTCTACATTTTGAGTACCCAATATGTGTAAGATATGTGTAGGATAAATCATTTTTTTACCAGTGATCCTAAGAAACTGTCGCCAAAGAAGAGTTGTGAATTTGTGGAGAAGAAATAATAGGTGAAGAATTTGAAGATGTGCCACGTAATTTGGAAGCAGCTGAGATACCCTATGACTCTTCTCAAGCATGAAAAAGAACATTCTGACATAACCAAATTTCACCATACAGTTCGACTTGGAAGTCATTAAGAAGAGGAGAAATAGTTTTATATATAGTAGAGAGGGAAAAGTACGGTTTCAAAAATGCCGTTAAATGTGCAGGTAACAGTTCTCTAATGAGCCAAAGACAGGACGGAGAAGGGTATCATAATCCCAACAATCTAAAGTAGAAAATTCAGTTTGAAAAGAAATATCCAAGGATTTCAAGGACAAGAACGAAGATAAGCAGAGGTCTCTAAATTTTATAACTTCGGAACGATGTGTTAGACATGGATTAAGATCAGGTAAAATATAAGGACAAGTCCAAAGATGATTCAAGTCTTCAGGAGCAGAGTTACATTGCAGACAGAACCAATCCGGAGAATACAAGTGAGGCATACGTTGTTGTAGAGTAATCAAAGTAGGCAACATATCCAAGAGAAGTTTGATTCAGAAGATCCAAAATTCA